AGAATTCAGGTGAACGTAGAGAAGACGGAGGTGATGAAGATGCTCAGCCAACAACAACCATCAATCACCATCAACGAGACAAATCTGAAGCAAACGTTCTCTTTCACCTACCTAGGCAAGACAGCATCGTCTCAACTACACGCGGCACAGGCACAGACGACGATGTCAAAGCCAGCCAGGATCGAAAAGACAGCAAGACAGGCGTTCATTAACATGAAACCAGTATGAAGATCTTCTGCACTCAGCATAAAGCGTGAACAAGATCCGGATTTTCAACACCAATTCAGTCAAGTCAGTGCAGCTATATAGGTCAGAAACTTGGCGCGTCACGAAAAGCATTTCCAACAAGCTACTGACATTCATCAATAGCTGCCTGCGTTTGGTCCTGGGAACTAGAAGACCAGAAAGAATAGGCAACAAGGGACTCTGGGAACAAACCAACCAGAAACCCATCACCCAAAAATATGCTGAGGAAAGTGGAGATGGATTGGATTGGGCTTACACTGAGAAAGCCATTGGGAGACATCACGTGCCGCGTCCTCGTGTGTAAACTATATCGGAGACAACGATTTAGGCGTCTGAGCTGAGAGTAACATGGAGGAGATGGTGTGAGGAAGAAATGAAAACGTCTGGGCAGTGGTGGAGCCAGGTTTTGAAGACTACAGAGAAGAGAATGCACTGGAGACGTGATACTGAAGCCGTACGTTCCACTAGGAACCCAAGAGACAAATAATAATAAAGCTTGAATACTTTGACTAATATTCGATTTTCAATTCCTTCTTCATCCCATCTATACACCTTTTGTCCACTCTGATATGAGTTTTCTTTTTCTATCCATTTCTACTTTTCGTGTTGGTGCGAAGTGTGGCAACTTGAGATGATCCACTTGTGTGTGTATATGTGTTTGTGTGTGAGGTTGCACACTGACTTTGTCTGTCTCTCTTGCTGACTACAGTAGTTGTGGCGATGGCCTTTCGAGTCGGTTATGCTAGGACTAGGAAACGGTAATGATGCACATTCCTGTATAACTTTTGACATTTATGTCTACGTTTCCTAATTTATTTACTTCAGCTGTCTAACTGACTGACTGTAATCGTCATTCAGGAATCTTCTTCCATGCATCACCCTCCTTATTGGAGCACCGTCGTTTCACTGTTGCTGCTAGATCTAGTACTAAGCATCAGTGACTGTTTCCACTGAGTCTCACATTGCCACGCCTATCTTCAAAGCTGATGTAAGTTTACTAACGGAGATCGATTTCTGAGGTGCATAAATAGGAAGAGGAATGGAGTAGACGCCTTCGAAGTTAGTCAGATCTCATGATGATGATATCCTGTTTTCTATGAAAATAGATCTAACTGCCTGCAATTATTGAACACCCCAGCTGTCAATAAGACATAAACAGAAATGTTGAGGCTTGTGTCATTATTTAGGAGGAGAAGGAAGATGATTTTATGATGTGAAACATTCCAGACAGTTACCAGGTGAAAAGTCGTTTGCATAAACCAGACACTGATTCCTGATCGATGGCATGCTATGATACACTGAGCTGAAATACACTTGGTGTCAAGTGATAAAGTTTCACTCCTGGGCTAAACGACCGATATAACGTCCGTAACTAATTCATAGTTGAGCTCTTAAACAAGAATCCTAAAGAGTTGCTCCGTTTCGAGCAATAAGAAGTTGACTGGCCAATTAAAGCGTTCCAAACATGTCACGGCATACATATAATGGCCTCGGTAATTTCCAGACCATTCTAGAAAGACGCTTGCTATTGATTTTGCTTCTCCAAACAGTATGATATTTATATGTATGATCGCATATCTTCTTTCAAAACTTCTGAGCATGCTAATCAATTGCGAAATATCTGAGAGACTGGAATTTTCTCTAACGGCTTTGAACAAGTATACTTAACAGCAGATCGTATTCACCTCTTACGGAATGGATAAATGATACGACGACGCATTTGGTTTCACAGTTAATCTTTGTTTAAACAACGTACACTTACTCTGGAGCACATTAACCTTGAATGCATGTATTGATATTGTCTGACTCAGCTGATTTGTGTCCTCTGAATCATCCAATGAGTAAATTCGATTGTTGACAATATTAGCAAGATTATATGAATCCATTTCTCAACGTTGTCTTAGATATAACACTTGTGGACGAAGAAGCTTTGCAGTGAATAGGCCATACAAAAACGTTTTCCACTATATTTGACGTTGAATATTTCAAAAAGCTAACAAAATAACTGAAGTGATGGTCCACTGTAGCTTTTTCTCATTATTGATGTTTGTGTGCAAAATCCAAGACCTTCCTAACTTTTCTAACATACTGAGTCATCTTGCTTCAGTGGTTACTTGCCATCATCAAACAATTAGTCCGATAATCACATTCACTGTAGAAGAACCATACCGTTTGCTATCTGACTACTGCTCTGTGTACAAAATCTTCTCCTCAGAAAACTTATTCTCAAACTGTTTAGCCTCAACTTAATGCCGTTGTCAGTGTTACCAAATAATGAAGAATTACTGCTGGAAGTAAAAGAGTTTTATGCTTAATTATAAATGCATTTTTGATTACTGCTATAAAACACAGCACTCAAGTGAAGCAGTCTCTGATAGATTCCGCTTGCAATGCAGCATAAGTACCTTTACTGCCTCCTTGCCATGCTGATATCACGAATCAATCAGGTGCCATCTATAAGCTTAGTTATCCTACTGATTATATCCTTTCAATATTCGATTGAAAACGTCAGCTACTTATGCAGCAAATAAGTAGTTAACGGTTTCACGAAAAATAGTGACAGATAGAATAGCTGCTGAGGTTGTTTAATTGTGAAGGTTTCATCCTCTTGCTACACGACATCAGAACTAACTTCAGTATGAAGTGAGCTATCAATATCTCTTCGTGAGTGATTGAGTTGCTTACCTTGACGAAGTGGTGTGTGATTGGTTGTTTCCTTTGATTGTTGTGTCATTGACTGTATGGATTTTCCGGTTGGCTGTTCCTCTGCTTCAGCTCTCACCTTTCTGACGTTTATCATTTTTCTTATTGGTTGATAGATCGGATCAGTGTCTATACACATGTTGATTGCTGAATGACTGTCCTGAATGTCAAGCTTCTAGGAATTCTCTGATATTCTTTGTGTTTTGCTCTTCCTGTTCAAAATTTTCACATTGTCGAAATTGAATTCATCTCCATAATTATCCACATGCATTGAAAAGAGTGATGAAATGTCATTCAATCATGCGGACATTCCACCAAGTTACAAATGGAATTTTTAGCAAAGATCAAAAGCATTAACATGGAAAACGATGAATTAATGGTACCTTTCGATGTCACAACACTATACACATCCATCGAACCTCAATTAGCCAGGGATACTATATCTGTCCTGTTCAATGAAGACACAAACCCTTCAGAACACACAAAACTGAAATGTTCGAGTCGGATGTAACTCATCGACATTTGTCTGACAACATACTTCCAAATCAATGTCAAGATATGCAAATAGATGAAAGGAAGTCCAATGGGATCATCGATATCCGGACAAATTGCAGAAGCAGTGATGCAGAGACTGCAAGCAATCATCCTACTTGTGAAGAAACCAAAAATTTGGATTCGCTATGTGGATGAAACTTTTGTCATCACTAAAAACATGATATAGAAAACACTCACAGTTTGGTGAACAACGTTTTCAATGGCATCAAATTCACAATGGAGAAGGAGTCAAACAACCAACTACCATTCCTGGATGTTCTGGTCAATAGAACAAATACTGGGAAGCTAGAAACCTAAGTGTAGAGGAAGCCAACACACACTGATCAAACCCTCAACTACAATAGCAGCAACCCAACAATACACAAAGTCAGTTGCGTGCAGACTCTATTCAAAAGAGTGAGAACACACTGCAGTACAACAACTTCACGGAGAAAAGAAAAAATCTACTTGATGTTCATCCTATAGAAGAACGGCTACCCACGAAACTTTATCAGAAGATGCCTATCCCGTACATCATCAACTACAAAGTCATCGACAGAAATCAATAAACACATCATCCCACCATACATAAATGATATATTAGAAATCACGACAAGATTATTCAGAACACTTGGAATCGGTGTGGCTCATAAACCAACAAATTCCCTCCAAACACTATTATGAGCACCAAAGGATGCGACAACCAAAGAAGACAAACCGAATATCATTTACAAAGTCAACTGCAATAGCTGTAGCCAACACTACACTGGACAAAGTGGTCGTCCTCTTCGCCTTCGTCTACCTGAGCACCAAATGGCTATTAAAGGTCACGAAATTTCATCAATCATTTCAATGCATGTGGATAATTATGGAGATGAATTCAATTTCGACAATGTGAAAATTTTGAACAGGAAGAGCAAAACACAAAGAATATCAGAGAATTCCTAGAAGCTTGACATTCAGGACAGTCATTCAGCAATCAACATGTGTATAGACACTGATCCGATCTATCAACCAATAAGAAAAATGATAAACGTCAGAAAGGTGAGAGCTGAAGCAGAGGAACAGCCAACCGGAAAATCCATACAGTCAATGACACAACAATCAAAGGAAACAACCAATCACACACCACTTCGTCAAGGTAAGCAACTCAATCACTCACGAAGAGATATTGATAGCTCACTTCATACTGAAGTTAGTTCTGATGTCGTGTAGCAAGAGGATGAAACCTTCACGATTAAACAACACACCTCAAAGAACACAATACAACCAAGAAAGGTTTATCACTGTTGTGGAACTTGTAGAACTAGCTGAGAACTTCTTCATATGAGCAGATTGTCTGTATAAGTGGTCATAATTGACGCAACTCCATGGCATGATGTACCTGAAGTGAATCAGTCTAGAAGTGATGTTCACTACAGATGGGTGAAGTAGATACCTTGTGTTTTTGTCGTTTCAGTATGTTTAGCAGATATTCCTCATTCTTTTTATGCACGTAATTCTACTTAAAATACTCACCAGTGTGCATAGGATAAGTTTTGAAATCTTCATTTCTCCTCATTAATGTATATCAACTCAAGAAGCAAGATGAAAATCAAGTTTTTGGGAACATCATTCTTTACAAGATTCAACTTTTAACGCTACAATTTCTACTGATTGTTAATAATAACTATGACAGTTTATAATGTGTAAAGTGAAAGGCCTGAGAGTAATCTGAGGAGTGAATATGTTGACTAGCTATACATGTTTCAGTACTAGCTAGCTAAGTAAGAGTAATATATATGGGATTGATTTGATATAGATGAGAAAGATAACAGTTGAAAGGGCTGTTCTCAACAATTAGTCAGAAACAAACTGACATGATTTGTGTTATGAAAAAGCACTGGATGATAACTAGTGAGTTGGTTAAGCTAACTGTGCGATTTGACTAGATCAATTCCGAAGTCCCTTATTCGTTACTTCTCAATTACCTTGTGAAACGATTGAGTGATGCAGTCAACCAAGGAACATCAGATATCAGATGAAACTCATCTTCATTAGTTTTTTGTTTTTGGCATGATTTCACTAAATACAATTCATTACCTGTTCAAAAGTATCTTGAGATGATTTAGGTCGTTTAAATAACGAACTTGACCAAGATATCAGAAAGTGTAGTTAGTTTCAGTGAATGTTGATTTCATTAAAGTATAACGAACTCAGAGACTTGATGTCTTACAATGTTTATTTTTATCGCTTGGAACTGCTACGTTGATTCATGAAGCAAAAGTGGTTCATTCCGCTTGAATTCTGGTGAAATGAGGTGTAAGTGTGTACTCCAAAAGGAGTCAAAAAATCGCGTATGTAGAAGAATCCTGTTTGCAGCTAATTTGATGTTATTATGCATCAGAAATTATTCAATGAAACTATTTGAAGTAGATAAGTATCCTTCCTGTATCACTCGCTACACGGACAAGTTTGAATGCCTCTGTGGATGAAAGAAAAAAGGAAGAACTTGGAATCAAGGAAAGCTGGCGGATTTTGTGTAAAATGTAGGAAATTGTAAATCATATTGACTTGACTTTTTTCTGAAGAGAAGAAAGTTCACTCACCTTCAGCTTCTTGATTTTGTTGTGAAATCGCTAATCTACTTCATTTCAATCTCACTAATGATTTTCACTCACTGATTAAAACTCAAGTATTATGTAGGTGTTAGCAAGTGTCAATAGTAAGCCATAGACTCAGAATGTCTTCTGTAGTCACTCATCAACAAGGCGAATCTATTACAGTAAGGAAATCGATGTTCCCGCAATGATTCTAGCCCGACTCACTTAGTGTTCAAGACAGAGTCCTAACCACTAAGCTAATCAAGCGTCAAGTACATGAACAGCTGAGGCATGAGTAACCAGTGTAGTTAGTTGTCCAGTTCCTGGAGCTTATTCAGCACTCATCAACATCCACCGATCAAGTTGTACGATATGACTATTAAACTGAATGATGTAACGCTGTGACACAGTGCATTTTGGTATTTGTCAACATCATGACATCTATTTAAGTAGTACAGTTAATAACACCCAAAAAGTTTACACTCTCTTCCTACCTCTTTTTGTCTGCTACCTTTACTTCATCTTACATATATAGAAGAAACCGTTGATTCTGATTAGTTCTCTGTTCTCCTGCCTTACTATATCTTTGCTAGTATGGTATATTGTGAACTTTGAATTTCATCCTTGTAATTCACTGCTAATGAGATATTGTGAAGTGAAATTTAGGCAGTAGTTTAAGAGTACAATCCAGGGAATTATGACTTAGTGTTTACACATTACCTAACAAAGTTTTGTTTTCAAATTTCCCCTTTGAGATTACTAAGTATTGTAGTACTTCTTTATCGAACATCCCCATCAGATGAAATAAGACGTTCGCTTGACAGTTACAATATCAGAATATTCTTTAAGGTGATGAACAAACACTTCACAATCACACCTGTGCAAATTAACAGAGCCAATACTCCATTTGAAATAACAGAACTGCTTTCAAAATGTAGACTATGATGAATTCGATATCACCCAGATTTATTGAAGAGACATTACATCAAGTACTAATACGTTTAACCGAATAAAGTGGAAGTTTCAATAAATTCTCATGATCTGGAAAAAAGTGGAAAAGGATCAGCCATCGCAGCTCTTAGCTTATATTCGCGTCATAAAATATCATTCGGAAAGGTAAAAGTCTTTCCTTTCTCAAAAAAGAGGTGATCATTACAGAACCTTTTCACATCTGTTTTTTCCCTTCTGCTGTCAACTAATAAGGTGAGTTAGACATCGTACATATATGCAAAATATGAATGACTCATATAGATGATTCCCAAAAATGCAAAAAGAAAAGGTAGCATACAACTACATTTCACTCTAATCCACATGATTTATTCCGAAACGAATTTCATTATTCATTTGTGATGAATAATTTCCGGTGTTATTTCGCTTAATCGTCCGACTCACTTCCGTAAAGTAAATATTAGGCAGGTATATTCAGGTAACAGAGGGATACGCTGCACCGCGGAAAAGAACCTAGAAGATCTGGATTTCGCCACTGATGACTTGTGCCTGATATCACATAAACTTGAAGATCTACAGGCAAAAACTAACAAGTTGGTAGAAGAGGCAGTGAAGACGGGACTTCAAGTGAATATAGAGAAGACAGAAGTGATGAAGATACCGCACCAACAACTTCAACAACAACAACAACAAACTCCAGTCACCATCAACGGGAGAAACTTAGAGGAAGTAACCTCCTTCACCTATCTAGGAAGCACTGTTTCAACTACAGGTGGCACAGGCACAGACGAGGATGTTAAAGTCAGAATCGGAAACACAGCAAGACAGGCCTTCATTAGCCTGAAACCAGTGTGGAGATCTTCTGCACTGCACTCAGCATGTGCAACAACATCCGGGTTTTCAACACCAATCCAGTCAGGTCAGTGCTTCTGTATGGTTCAGAGACTTGGCACGTCACGAAAAGGATTTCCAATAAACTACAGACATTCATCAACAACTGCTTACGCTCGCTACTAAAGATCAGATGGATTGCCAGAAAGAATAAGCAACAAGGAGCTCTGGGAACGAACCAACCAAGAACCTATCACCCAACAAATATGCAGTGGAAGGAAGTGGAGATGGATTGAGCATACACTGAGAAGGCCGACTGAGGACATCACGCGTCAGGCCAGGCACTTGAGTGGAATCCCCATGGGAAGCGACGAGTTGGACGTCCCAGCTGAGGGTGACATGGAGGAGATGGTGTGAGGAGGAAATGAGAGGTTGTGGTCTGTCGTGGAGCCAGGTTGAAAAGATTTCAGTGAACAGAGTTCACTGGAGACGTGCTAGTGAAGCCCTATGTTCCATTAGGAACCCAAGAGACTAATAATAATAATAACAATAATAATAATATAATATTCAGCTAACGAGTCCATAATAAGAAAAAATGCGCGTCCAGCTGAATTCCATTCCTAATTCCAACCCTCCACTTTGTTATCATCAATACTTCAACTGTTATCAGTACCATTATCGTACCTTTATCGTTATTATCATTATTATTAATCAGTATATATTGTTTAACTTTCAGATATTCTTGCGCCCCCAATGCACCCTGGTAACTTACAACTCCACTGTACTTTTCATTGTAGAACTAAATTCCCCACACACTATTTTATTCCACCTTATTTGCACTGGGGACTGAAAAAAAGCTTCTCTGACCGATTTACTCATTTACTCACCTACATTATATTATCCTGTCTTCCATATCCATCATGTAACCGGATAATCATAAAGGTCACCACCTTCTGTGTCAAAACGCCAATATTCAACTGAAAACTAGCACCCATGCAGATCAACCTAGGACCATGCATTACTGCGTAACGGTCTGAGTTGCCACACCTCATATCAACACATCAAGTAAAAAAGGCAGTGAGGCGCAAGATGAAGACAAGAGAATGCAGTCAAAAGAAATATAAAGTACTCAAAGAGAGAAAGGAAGAATGGGGAAATGGTGAGATTCGGCATTGCATCGTTAAGATGTTAGGTCAATGTGTGTATCCATCTACACCACTGACATCGGTTCTCAGCCATTTCACCTAGAGTCAGTCTCCAACCACTGATTCCTCTTGTCTCCCGTGGACCTCAACCATCTAGTCTGCATTCCTTGACATGGCTCAAACCAACAGTCGGAGACTTCAAGTGTTGGTGTCATGTTTTAGTCTGGCCACCTGGAGCCTTTTTCCAGTCTGGACCTACTTCAGCCAACATTGTGTGATGAGGCAATCTGTGACTAGCTATACGTAATACGTGTCCCAACCATCTCAATCGATGAAGGTTCACAACCACGTCAACAGATTTACCTCTACTCCCTAAAATTCTGCGTCTGACTTCTTTCTGCATTACTCATGTGGTGACACCAGAGAATACGGCCTATGCTATGAAGGCAAGGGTGGTCAAACACCTGAAGCCTTCTCATGTTTTCTACCTTCAATGACCACGTTTTACAGCCATAGAGTAGAACAGAGTGGACTGTTGTGCAGGTGCAGTACACACGACCCTGAATAGACAATTGGATATTGGCAAAATCCAATCGAGCCTTTTGTATCCGTGCATAGATTTCACTGGCCACTGAGCCATCAGGGTAGTGATGATTCTACTTCGCAGATAAGTGAAGTGGTCAACACACTCAACCAGTACACTCTCTATTGTTAGCCTAGGCAGTGTTGAAGACCAATCCTAGAGCATTAATTTGCATTTGGGTGGTGAGAAACGCATACCGAACATTCTCAAATTGGTATTTAAGGTGTTCAGAAGACTCTGCATCTTGTCATGTGACATTCACACGATTGAAGAAAAGGAACTATCTAACAAAATCGAAATATTGAAAAATAAGAAATTGACAAACTACCTCACATAAAACTAAAATTGAAGTGATGAAAGTGTGTCTTGTTCATCTGATTAGTCAGTTGATAAATACAAAATGGGTAGACTGAATAATAAGTTTATTGACTGATTAAATATAAATAAAATTTGATTAAATAAAATAATTTTTAATTTTAACTCATCAATTCACGTAGATTTTCATTCAACTTCTGGATAATCTTCTTCAATTCTGATGGACTACGAAGCCAAGTATTCAGAATAGAATATGATTGTTTCATATTCTCTTTCATTAAATAATAATTATTCACATTGAAAATATTACTTTCAGGACTAGTGAATGAGGCTAATTCTTGTTCATTAAGAATAATTATCATTTTATTGATTAATTGATTAATTATATAAGTGAAATGAATATGTTGCCAAGGGATAATAATCATTTTCTGTTGATTTTGACATATATTTTTATATTGATCTTGTACAGTTTGATTTAACTGTTCAAGAAATAAATGTAAACATGTATGAATTAAATTTCTTATTGTAAATACTTTTGTCAATTTTGTATTTGTATAGTAATCACTTGTTATACAAAGATTTATAAGGCACCTCAATGCTTTACGACGTATACCATGATCAGTATTATCAATTGTTGTTAATAGATTCTCTTCTGTTAGACAACTTGATATTTCCCATAAAGGTAAATTTGAAAAATTCAATCCATTTTGATATATACACAAGGTGTTGATTGGTTTAAGAAAATTATGCTTCAAGTAAATTGATGTATATCGACTTGTTGTTGTTGTTGTTGATGATGATGATGTGATTAGAGTTTTTGATGTATTGGCAAGTAAATCATTGAATGAATAGACTGGATAAAAGCATATTCTCATTTTTATCCATGTTGACGGTGTTATAGTTGATGATTGATAACTTTTATCTGATTTTGAATCAATATTAGGTGTTAACACAAGATTCATACTTCTACTGAGTTGTATTCTACGGGTTATAATACCACCTCGTTGAATTTGTTGACTTTTCCAAATTTCAGGTGAATAATATAGTGGATTGATGCCTAAAGTGTTTGAATCGAATATAACCTAAATTGAAAGATTATAATCAACACTGATCAGATCAATTAATTCATTGAAATATTAACAGGGAAATTAGACTTGATCAATACGATTTCATTGTAGTATATATAGCATTAGATAATCAAATGATACATGTAAAGATGAAAATAATTTTTTGTGAAGTAGTTAACACGTTACTTATTAACTATGCCAATACATGTTTATAAAGAGTCATACTTCATTGAACACCTATGAATTTGAGATTTCAAATATCTAACTAGAACTGTCGATGCACGTCACTGATTGTGACAACTTCAAATATCAAAAATGGTGGATAACTGTTGGATCTTAAGTGTTTCCTACTTCTCAGATCATTTCCAATGTATCAAATGGTGATCTGTGTATCGCATATACAGTGTATTCTGACGTCATCTGTCGAGATGGAATGGATAGTGGAGTGGATTACTTTACAGACTACATCCTGACATCGATGCATCTACGCTGACTTTCTCTTAGTAAACTGCTCTTAAATGAGATCGTTTCGTTGAAATGCTTCAATAAGCTAGTCAGTTTCATTGTGTATATGACACATCTATTTAGCATGTCATTTCACGATACCAATGTAAGTGAATTTTTCTATGAGAATGCCTAATTTTTCCCCTTTGATTATTATTATTTCTGAAAAAAATTTCAGCATGATGATCGACAGCGATGACGTGTTCTCCTCGAATAAGTTTAGTTTCTTCAACTGACTGTGTTGTTAATCATTCATTTCCATCTAATTTCTAGAATGAATATGTTCAATTCACTTCTAACTGTGATCCCAAACATTTAAGCAAATAGGGATAATTTTTACGGTGGTCGTAAATTTCCAACTCAGAGACTACTAACGACAGTACTGAAGTGTAGTACTACATGCAGTGATATATTTGTGAGAAATACATATCTGTCTTCATAAAACTACACTGAATATGACGTTTCGACATCAATATTTCTATGCATGGGAACTCAAGCCTCGAGAGTAATACAGTTACTAGAATGAATAGGGTGAAATCAACGAAATCATCCATTCCAGGTAGTGAGTGACATTGAATTTTGAATTACTCTATAAAACATGCCCGATAATTGATTCTTTCTAGAAACTGTTTCATTTCCTCATTGTAGGCAACCAAGAAGGAATTTTCAGATGGTTAGAAGAATAGCGTGTCTGTGTGTAATATAGGCGGGTTAGGCGTATTGAAACATGGAAGTCAAGCTTATCTCCTCAGGAAAGGATCAGTTAGACTGGCAATAGACATAAATAATTATGATAATTGTGTTAATATTATCACAGTCTGATAGATGAAAATCATGTGTAATATGTCAATCTCAGTGTACAGCGTAAATACGCATTTTCGTCTCCAAGTGGTTAACGATATTTTTGGAAGGCGTGACCTTCAGCATAAATACCTTTCAAACTCCCTCCTAACAACTGAATGTCAGTAATAAACTATCATGAATATCACTTTCATTTCTTATACAAATTTCTTTCATAAATAATGAGTACTAAATTATTACTCATCATTAACAGATAGTTCCTGGCGTCAATTTCTAACTGGCACACAACCAGCAACCAGTTAGTTCTACATGGACGATCAACATTGAATTCTACCTTCAATATTATCAATTGATAGGAATGAACATTTACGGTGATGAGGATATCTGAGAAGGGATTAGTGATGGAGTGATGAGGTGGCGGTTAAAATCAGCAGTCATCTCTCTTATCAACCCAAACAATTACATTTAGTACACTGACGACACATTCATGCGAATCAACCATACACATATGCAGGAATTCACTTAACAAAAGAGGAGGAAGTCAACAAACGAAGATCCCTTCTTAGACGTCTTCATCAGCAGAACGCTCAGGAGGATGTCCTAAACTCAATTGTACACGAAGAACATGTACACAGATCGAATTTTGAATTTCAACAGAAATCATGCTACAGTCCATAGGAAATGTTATGTCAAACCACTATTCTCAAGAGCCAAAACAACATTGCAGCACTGAACCACTACGGAGAATGAAATAAAAGTACTTGTACAAACCATTCAACGCTAACGATTATTCATAGAGATGCATCGAGAAATATTTATGAGCAGAACAGTGTAATTACGTCAAATCAGTAGGCGCATTACTCAGCCGTTCATCATGCATATCTCAGTAACAGTCAATAGACTGCTCTGTGCATCCGGGATTCGAGTGACTACCGTACAATTAACACGTCAACTATGTGTAGTGCATCATCATGAATATATAGCAAAGTGAAACGTCTCAACAACACACCAACTTACCTCAATAGGATAAAAACCCAAGGCAGTTGCTTTATCTACATCCTCTCCAAATAAACTTCTCCAACTGATCACCTTCAAACCTGTTTCACCCGCTTCACTAAACAAAGATGAATCTAATATCTCTGGTACCAGTGTAGTAAATAATGATTGACAAATTTTCTGTGGTGAAATAAAATTCCAATGATGTGATAGATTTTTAAAATCAAAATTTTCACAACTTCGAAACAAATCATACTGATCATTGGTATCTTGCTTCTTTGTTGTCTCAAGCAAGATTTCACCAGGTAGTCCAGTCTTTTCACTATTAATTGAAGGTATAGCAATATAAAAGTAATTTGGAATGTAAGTGATCGGTTTTTCATTTAATGAATACGGTCTAACTTGATATTGACTTGGTTTTTTCAATACAATATACATATCCCAATAGAAATGCGTTTTTAACATCTTCCCATTGGTATCATCATCATAAATGAATTCATGATTCAAATGTGACAATGAACAAGCTTGTAAATAACCATTCCATAAACGTGTTATCGGTAGTATATCTTCAATGACTATATGAAGTGAAGATGTTCTACTTTTTTTAACAAGAATTTGTCCAAATTCTGTTAAAACATCTAAATGTTTTTGTAACCATTCAATTGTCCAATATTCATATTCATTCAATTCTGATGGAAGAAATTGATTCTCATTCAATATGATATCCATATTCAATTTGGAATCAAGTAAATTATCAAGAGTGAAAAATTCTTCAATTAAACGATTTTTTGTAATAGTAATATTATTCATTTGTACAGGTGTTTCATTGCGTACAATAGAATGAAAACCTTGAAGTAGAATATTTTCACGATTTGTATTCTGTTGCTTTTGCATTTCATATCAAGTTAAATGAAGTTGATGTTTCAATGAACAATATTATTTATTGGAAAGTTTACTTTCATATGATATTGAATTAATCATTTGTAATATGAGTAAATAAAAGTACATGACGTAAACTTTAAAGGTTTGTGTTCACGTGAACTATTGAAGCATAAAATCGATTTTTGTGAAGGACAGAACATTGTTAAGAATATATATTAATGAATGAGGAAGTGGTTTATAAGATGGAACTATGGAAGATCATGAGGTGACTATTAGTTGTTTCATCTAGTCAGAACTCTCCGGTTGTATATGAGCTAGACTAAGAGATCTGACATTACTATGTGATCACTTCTTCAGAAAGCACTTCTACATTAAACATGCAAATGTATTCGAAATCTATGCTTAATGCTTGTTTGCTGACAACCACTTCAACAATTTGTAAGCGTTTACAAAGACTACAATGCTTTGATTTCTGTTTACTTGAAAAATGGAAAATAATTTCTTCAAGCGGTAGTGTATCCAACAACTGCTATTTCATATATGAAATCATATATTGATCATTCGTACTTATAAACCATACTGACACCAATCGATAATTTCACATCAACTTAACATCGAACTCATTGAGTAATGTAGAAAGAAGGATGAAAATGTATTTCCATGGTAAAAGCATTTCAGAATGATGTCAACTAGTAATCCACATACGTTTGGTAATAATTGGTCATCACCATGAACCGATTACGTGACCAACAGTCATCACTTTCAACTACACAAATCATGAACTTCAATCCATCAGAAAACGAATGTCAAGTTTTGATGAATCTGTAATCACAAAATGCAAAAAATCTGCATTATCGCGCGTGTTACATTCCCTTTTGATCAATCTGTTGTTGCTCAATCTGGTGGAAATGTGATAAGGATGGTTCAGGTATGATTGTCATTCAAAATCTCTATCAATTTTCAATCCTAACATTTGTATACTAAAGGAAAACTACTGCTGTTCAACAGTGTTGTTGAAAAAGCAAAACGCGAAATCACAAGATTTGGTTGAAAAAGATTCCAACTGCTGATTCAATCGAAACTGTTACTTTACATGAAAATTGTCAACCGAAAGAGGCTTTCAATAATAATGGAAACAGAGAGTGGATAGCTTGATTTTGGTTGGATATTGTAAACCTATTTCTACTAAGATGAATACTTCACTGGACTTCAGACTCTCATAGTTACACATTGTTTGCTTCTCAGTAGCTGAATTTATGCCTGTAAGATATGTGATTCCCAATCACTTAACATCATTATTTCGAAACAGCAGCTTTGTCTCATGAACTGCTGTCTTCTATCTCCTATAACACTCGACTTCAATAAAAACTATCATCTCCATTGCTATCAAACACATCATACTTATTGTTTATGTGAATTTTGCAATACAACTTAAAAGTATGAAGAAAATTTGGTCACTCTCAAACTTGTGTTATTCAACACACTCTCATAAACCCACAAATCTGTAATGTGACATGCTTATCAGTGTCACGCAGTGCCATAGACCTCCGGCAGTTTTGGCTGCGACAAAACTGCTTAAATGTTTAATATGTTTCACCTTATCCTACCGAATAATTTTGTAATCAAGAAATGGCATTGTTCTAGGTCTGAAGTAAGGTACATCTTGACGTATTTTTCATTTCCAAACCTTACTACTGATTAAAGCGCAAGTAGCATTTATGGCAAACGCGAAAACAATACTATGCACATTTACGACAATTTCGATAAATTCATTTCAAGCCAATTATTTTAAGTCAAACGGCACTTTTCGGACACCCACCACGTGTCAACACTTGCTACAACAGTACACGTTTATAATGTCGAGTCATTTAGCCCAACGGTTACAGCTGTTAATTGATTTATGAAATCCGATGATTACCTACCTGCGTTTGGATAACTAGCTTGTCGGTATGCCGAATCCAGTTCTACAGGACACTGTTTGCAGACTTTAGAGCTTTGCCAATTAACACTAGTTGGTATTAAATCCAGATATCTAACTTCTTTTCTTATCCATTTCAGACAGTTAGCAAATGTATGTTTACCAGGTGATGAGATAAACTTGATGTGTAAACACCAATTGCATCATCCGCTTGCCTACATCAAAGTAGTTGCTCCCGGATTTTAATCAAGAGTAGATTTCGGTTGAAAAATGAGTTCCAAAGTCAATGAGCTGCAATGTTTGTAACTCATTATACCCCCTAACCATGAAATAAAAATGGACTCCGTTTAAATTTTGTTTATTCTCGAAAAATATACGTGAAAGTAAGTTCAATGAAGCTCGACTTAACTTTGGATATCTTTGTAGATACATAGTAAACATGACTGAATCAACACAGTAGCACTGGGAACTAGAAAATATGAAATCAGATAACTAATCCTTAGTGAGTGAATAATAAAACCACTTACATTTCAGTAATCTGAGAAGGATTCCTCTATTCGGTGGTGAGACGACTAATGACAACTTGATTAACCAACAAGCTGGAGTACTTAGAACCAGCTGACATATATGATTTAGAGACCGTTGGTAAAACAACAAGATAAAAAGTTATCATTAAAACATAGCAGTTTGTACTCCTTAGTCAAAGTGACTATTCTAAACGCCAACCGAACGACGACTAAAGTAGCTAATTGCTACATACCCCTAATTTTTGCATAGCTTTACCTACTGTATTGCTCATGACCCTAAAATAACCTATATGGCTGTTTTCACACCGTTACTAGTTTTTCTGCCCTCTGCTCTCAAGGCTAAACTCTCATTTGCTGTTAACTATTGTTACCTATATGTGGATTTAGTGGTCTCGAAGCCAAGTCAACTGTATTGACTCTTGTTGAGATAGTAAGAAGCTCTTTGTCAACAGTCTGTCTTCTCTTCTTATCTTCGCACGTTGTTGTTGTGGGTTAGAGTCGATTCGTTTGCATGTTAGGTTTGTATCATTCATAATCTGTTAGGTCGTACTACCGGTCATAGCAGTAATTGGGTTTCTTTATTTCTGGGCTACTTAGGTAGATTTTCATGAAATGAACTAGTCTAGTTGGTGATAATCAGGTGTTGCTGTTGTTAGGGTGACTTTCGAAGTCACTCCTTCTTCAAAAAACCTCTCAATCTCCATAACTATTACCACCATTGTGGGAAGGAATATCATAATACTTATAAATATCTATTTATTTCAACATATATATGATAAAATTTTGCAACATTTCTTTCACTGAGAATTCACCATACAATATGCTTACATATTGAGTCATATGACTGATCGGAAACTAAATGTTGTAATCATTGTTTTACATAGTGAAAAACTGATAAAATTTCTAAAGGATTTATTAGGAATATTGCACAATCTTACATTGATTTAAAGAGATAGAAAAATATAGAATTCCGTTATATGAAATTATATACTCAAGTATTACAACAAAACGCAAAACAATAACCGTTTATGTATAGTTCAGTTACCCTGTGAATGTACAAGTGTACTAATAAGAATTACTATTATTTATTGATGAGAAAATTGAAAAAAAAAACAATTCTGAAGCCTCATTTACACTGTCATCATATTTTGAAAAGTTCTCAACATCAACGTATTTATTGTTGTTTTTACTACTCAATGTACTTTTATTCAGTTGTTCTTTAAAAATATATCCTTATACATGCTACATGAAGTTTATACAGTAGTTATCACTTATTGTGGTCAGTTACATGTGTTCTCTACAGTGGAATAAGTAAATAACGTCAGCTAGAATTACATAAACCTCGCCTGGTTAACTAGTTCACTTGTTACTAGCTGGTCCTAAGCCCGGGTAAAGAGGGAAGGTTGGGCATAGGGCTAGCAACCCTACCCCGTAAAACAAATCTAACCGCTAAACAAACTTCAAAGCACAAACAAAATATAAAAAATGAAAACAAACTTATTCCTCGCTGGAATCGGAGAGGCGAAATGACGCCAGTTGGTGAAAGCGTTCGGGAAGCCGACTGGCCGATATGTCTTCTCTCGATGAAAGAGAAAGTAAACGTGGGGACATGTGATGTCCGTACGATGTTTGAACCCAGTAAGGAACGGCCCGGTTAGCTCAGTCGGTAGAGCATCAGACTTTTAATCTGATGGTCGGGGTTCGAGCCCCCCATCGGGCGGTGGCGGCTTTTTAAAGGAAGTAACCTCCTTCACCTATCTAGGATGCACTGTTTCAACTACAGGTGGCACAGGCACAGACGAAGATGTCAAAATCAGAATCGGAAACACAGCAAGACAGGCCTTCATTAGCCTGAAACCAGTGTGGAGATCTTCTGCACTGCACTCAGCATGTGGAACAACATCCGGATTTTCAACACCAACGTCAGTCAAGTCAGTGCTTCTGTATAGTTCAGAGATTTGGCGCGTTACGAAAAGGATTTCCAACAAACTACAGACATTCATCAACAACTGCTTACTCTCGCTACTAAAGATCAGATGGCCAGAATAATAAGAATAAGCAAGAAGGAGCTCTGGGAACGAACCAAACCAGAACCTATCACCCAACAAATATGCAGGAGGAAGTGTAGATGGATTGGGCATGCACTGAGAAGGCCGACTGAGGACATCACGCGCCAGGCCAGGCACTTGAGTGGAATCCCCATGGGAAGCGACGAGTTGGGCGTCGGTGTCGAGGGTGACATGGAGGAGGTCGTGCGAGGAGGAAATGAGAGCTTCTGGGCTGTCGTGGAACCAGGTTCAAAAGATCTCAGAGAACAGAGGTCACTGGAGACGTGCTAGTGAAGCCCTATGTTCCACTAGGAACCCAAGGGACTAATAATAATAAAATAATAATAATAGAATTACATAGCTCCATGAACTACAGATATTCCAGATGTTTCTTCAACAATTACTGTTATCTTACTTATCTTTTTAATCAGATGGATAATGGAGTGATCACTGTGTTTGTAAAGTCGTATATATTGATTGACTGAAGTGCTTCAAACAAGTTTACAGTTCAACTACGGAGTTAGTTGATGTTAAACTATTATAATGCTGCCTTGATATTGGAAATGAATCAAAGAACATACTAAGTGTGGTTAAACGCTAACATACAGTTTATTCAAATGTAGTCCCTAAGAAGATTCAAAAAAGGGTAACCGCAAAAAAACAACTACAAACGAATATCAAGTAGATTATTATTATTATTATTAGTCCTTTGGGTTCCTAGTGGAACATAGGGCTTCACTAGCACGTCTCCAGTGACCTCTGTTCTCTGAGATCTTTTGAACCTGGTTCCACGACAGCCCAGAAGCTCTCATTTCCTCCTCGCACGATCTCCTCCATGTCACCTTCGGACGTCCAACTCATCGCTTCCCATGGGGATGCTTAAAGCAAAAACCATTTAGAATTTCTGTGCACCTGTACACAAACTATTAATTCCAAGTGAATTAGTATGTTTGCTACGGTAAAGACGGTACAAATTATTACTGACGTCTAGCAGAAGGCAATGAAAATCTATTCGATGTCAGTGAAACTCACCAAACCACAAATAACTCATATAGTTATTGATTTGACCGATGTATTTATTTGCATGTAAATCATGATGTTTTCTCTTCAAACTACAACTTTATTTCAATTGACCATTCACTCTCTCGCTCTCTCAAACTCCTTATATTATCATATTGTTTGTCCCTTGGGTTACTAGTGAAACATACGGTTTCTGTAGCAGGTCTTCATGCCACTCTGTTCTCTGCAGTCTTTTGAACCTGGCTCCACGACTATCTGAGCTTCAGTATCGAGTGAGCGTAGGCAGTTGTTAATGAATATCTGTAGTTTGTTGGAAATGCTTTTCGTAACGCGCCATGTGTCTCAACCATACAGAAGCAATGACTTGACGTTGGTGTTGAAAATCCTGATCTTGTTCCACATGCTGAGTGCAGATCTCCATGCTGGTTTCATGTTAATGAATACCTGTCTTGCTGTCTTCCCGATCCTGGCATGACGTCGTCGTCTGTGCCACCTTCAGTTGAAACAGTGCTGCCTAGATAGGTGAAAGAAACTACTTCCTTTAAGTTTCTCCCGTTCAAGGTGATTGGAGATTGTTGTTGGTTGAGTATCTTCATCACCTCTGTCTTCTCTACATTCACTTGAAGTCTCAAACTTCTAGTTAGCCTATATTATTTTCATTCCCTAAAAAGAAGCAGTCACATAGCTGTCTCCAAATGTGATATCTCATACAGCTATAATGACACCACTGCACTGTTTGAGCGAATACCTTTCAACACTCCCACCTTGGTATAGATCACATCATAGATACTGTTGACTATGGCCCTATAATATTGAAGTACAAAAGTATGCCATACCAGAACGTGAGTATAAATACATAAGATATGACCTTGTCCGGAATAAAATTAAGTATTAAGCAATCAGCAAATTACGTGGAAAATGGGGGCAAAAGTGAACTACAAACCATGCTGTTAAAAACAGCGCGAAAAAGACAATTTAAAAATGTCTAGATTAGTAAACAATTTTCTATGCAAATCTGGGGCCTTTCAACAACTAAAATTTCGTGTTTAACACATCTTGATTGTTAATATGAGAGAAGATTACTCTTGTAGTCTCTCGCTACACATCACTCACTGCTTCAAACTGAGTAGTCATACACAGAGATTTCAACTTCAGTCTGAAAAGGCTCCTTCCCTCCACTTGGAAGTTGTACTACAAGACCATGTATGCGCCGAATTAAAAAAGACTGTTTATGGAAACTGGAAAGGTCAATAATCCACAAGCGCATCAAAGATACCAAAATACTAGGAAATTCTATCAAAATTCTAGAACGCTACTTCACAGTAGTATGACAACGTATTCCATACACCACAATTATAGATAAGATGACTCTACACGTCAGGAAAAACGCTTCACCAATAAATCGATATCAACAAAGGGTCAGACATTAGTAAGTAATGGTCCAAGTTGCTGCAGGTCATATCAGGACAACAAGTAACAGCGTAGTAAGATGAAAGATGAAGGAAGAAAGAAGAATCGACCGAAAGTAGAAAAAAAAGAAAAGCGATGGATGAAAACATGCTGAATTCAGTTAACTGGTAAATAATGTGTGGATACGTCTGCGCCACTGATATCGATTCTGAGCAATATCACCTAAAGTTTCCAACCGCTAGTTTTTTTGATCACATGGACCCCAACTGGCTAGCCTGCATCGAAGCGATGCCATATTTGGTCGCTCCAAGCCTGTTTCCAGCTTGAACAGACTTCACCTAAGATTGTGCGACGAAGTAGACGGTAGCTAGGCATATGTAACATATGTCCTAGACACTTCAGTTGATGAAGGTTCACGACCTTATCAACTCACCTTCCTCTTTCTCACTAAAACTCTACACCTGGATTCCGCGTTGTTGATACGATTTCAATAGGATACATTGTCTATGCTACGAAGGCAACGATAGTTGTACACCTAAACCCTCTATCTTTAAAAGTCATGTTTGACAACCACATAATGGAAAACAGTGAACTGGAGAACAGAAAAAACGATTCCTTACTGTATATTTCTATGTACTTTATTATATATATTGAAAGGCGATGACGTTAAATCAGTAAATAGGGTAAAACTAGTGAGTAAACGCGAAAAATTATTTCACAATCTGAAGAAAAACAATACTATAAAGTAACCTTAATAGTTTAAAGACAAATGAACAAATTTCCCGATATTCTGTATGGGTATCATTTTATCTTTATGACTCCGTTTTCTTCGTTCTTTTTATGACTGTAAACAAACACACACATTTATGTATAGTAATGATGGGTAGTAGGTAGCAGCAGAATCCAGGATGCGCATTTCGTCCTATTTTGGACTCATCAGCTGAATGTACCTGCTTCCCTTACAGTGAGTGATGTTCCCACTGGGATTCAGAGTCGGGAGTGATAACTTCAAACGTGAGAGAGTTATCCACTACACCACCGAGCCACGATAGCCAGTTCTTGTGCGACGGGTATAGTTTTAGTGTTATTGCTTGTATTACTCTGTTGTTAATTGGACCGCATTGATCATTCTCTGTTAGGCATATGGGCTCCTGTGCGAATGCCCGGATATTGCCTGTGTCTCAGCTATGTATAGTAATGACGGGCAGTGGCTAGCATATATACACTGACAATGAAAATAAACAGAAACAGTAAATTATAAAAATAAAACCACATTTTTTTTGTACAGAAAAATAACTCTCTTCTGATAAAAATACATTATTTCCTTACAATACTATTAACTACATATCATATACATACATGCGTAAAAATACTGATTAAATTTTCAGCAGCTGATGAGTTGATATAAGAATTCCAAAAAGTTGTTAAGCACTTTTTAAAGTAAAAAGCACTATTGAAAAAAATAATCTCTGTAAATAAACAATCAATCAAAAATTCAATGTATCAACTGGTAGGGTTAGGGTTAGTGTACCACCACCCCTCCCCCCATCAATGAATTTTATCAATCAGTTATTGATGATAAAGAAGGATGAAATGTTGTAGAAGGAGATTTCGGTTTTCCATTATAACATAATGCAAACATTCTAACTGGATATAATGATGATGGAAAATTTGTTTGAGCTTTTTCACCAATTAATGTTAAGCCAGCATCATTAAATGCTGTAATATAAGCAGAACGTGATCTTGTATAACTACTATCAGTATCATCAAAATTTATTTCAGTAGAATTAATGACTGCATTTTCATCATTTCCTCCAATTGATGTAACATTCTCTTTGATGACAATTACACCACCAGGTGAAAGACCATATGCACAACGTTCTAAAAATGCCAATAAAGCAAGATCCGATAAATGACCCAATACCCACTGAATCCATATTAAATCATATCGTCCAGTAGGCGGTGTAAACTCCTAAGATATAAGACGAAAGGTATCAGTAATTATCAAATCGAAATATAATAGTGAAACAAATAATTCAATAAATTTATGTCTAGTATGGGACTCTTCAGCAGTACGCATCCACGACCCGGCTAGGGATGGAACTCAGGACCTTCAGGTTTCACGGTAAACGCGTTAACCATTCAATCATCCAGCCATTTACCCCCTATCCGGGTGGTCATGCGTGCGTACTGCTGAGGAGTTCCATACTTGGACGAAACAGCTGTCCAGTGCTCTCAGATTTTCAATGGTTCCCCAACTGATGTCAATCCATGATGAATACCACCTCTAAATTAAAATTTTATGTCTGTTTAAAGCCATAAGCAAAGAAGTGGATAAAAATAAACGAAATGGTTTTACATTGACTAATATGAAAAGGCTGACAACAATTTGCGCACAATAAAACATTCCCATCGGTTATCTTCACAAAACTAGCCAATCCTATAACTGCCAATGTCTAACTAGAAATGTAACAGTAAGAAATATTCCTTCTCAATCTAACTATTCATTTCCTAAGTGGATAGAATCAAATATTTCTTTATCAGGCCTTCGATTGAATCTTGTCAAAATCAATGTCTCCGTTTCATCTTCAATCGTCATCGGACCACTTACGAACTAGTTTATTCATCTAAGGCTACAATCATGGGCTTCAACAGATGACACACCCCTAAATGAAATTAGGAGACTACTCAATAAGTTCAATATCACAGTATTCTATCGAACATCGAACACATTTTCAGAGCACCTTGATCCACTTAGAGGATAAGGTCCCTATGGATTCAAAATCTATGTTTATGTCACCCAGGCTGCTATGCAGAATATTTCGCATGAAATCAATATTAGTAAAAAATATATATCGAAGCGCTTCCACTTGACCCCCTCACCCCGTAGAAATCCAGTAAAGCTGAGAAGGTTTGAAAACACTTCAGTTATAGCTCTACATGTTATAATTTCAGCTCATATGGTCGATTCTGACGATAAGAAAATTATTTGCAAACATCTTAGAAATTATTTTTTTTAAAAATAACGTCATATAGCAGAATCTCTTCACATAAAATGGAATGAAAATTATCTAAATAGAAATGGGAGAATAGGGCGTAATTCGACTTCGTCTCAACGCAGCCCCCACATACTGACATAACCAAAATAAACGCAACAATAAGCATCAGTGCAATTGCGTGTATACATCTCCACCTGTGTAACACATACTCATTAAGCATAATACATACATCTCTGTTTAGTAATTTGACAACACAGAATCATTCATGCAATAGAGCACTTGTCAAGTTATCATATATAAGTTTGGGGGGGGGGATATTGTAAATTCCGCTTTATTATATAACTTAAGATTAAGGTATTAGCAATAAACAGCGAAACACCAGTTAAAACAAATTTATTTAATGGTATATTTCAATGGGAAATACAAATACTAAAAATAATGAATGAACATCACATTTACCCAATCCCCAAAACTTTTTTAAACTAACAACCAATAAACAATTAAACACGACTATTAAATCAATTGTTCATAATGAATCTAATATCATCCCTTGATATACACACTTTTATTGGAAGGATTCAGAGAAAGAAAAAAATTTTTTTTTTCTTCATTTTACTGCATCACCACACTATTTTTATACAAAAATCTAGTATGTAAAACCTAATTTAGATGCTACTAAGATGGTCTTCTCACTTCAGTCACCTACCACCAACCAACACTTAACCCAACAAAGGAGTTTATTAAGGGCAGTCAACTCGTATTGAGCAAGACATCTAAAACTTACATTGTTGAATGATATACATTCAACTGGTACACAAAATCAATAAATTTAATCTTATGAATCTTTATCAAAGTATTTATACAAATAAAGAAATTTCAGGTATTTCTATGTGTTTCATTAACTAAACGAATGATCACTTCTATACGAAACAATGAACATACTCTGGTCCCAACAGTATCCATGTTTAGTTGATGAAGAGTGGATACTTGATAAAAAATACACCAAAAACTAAACAAATAACCATAGGCAATTATTCATAAGTTTTAATATACTGCTTACTTGTAAACCCATACAAAAACGTTCACCAACTCTTGGGAAATCAGTAGGACCAATATATTCCTCTGTTTGATCAAGAAAAGCCTGAGTTAATTCTACCATATCCACGATAGAAAAACGAGGTAGTAATAATTGTTTAGTAACACGTCCGATACCTGCACCACAATCTAATGCGTAGGCTGTAGTAGATGGACCAAATTCATCAAGAAATGCTTCTGAATCTGTTATATCTGGTACATTCAATGAAGTATAACCAGATAACATTCCATCGACAGTAGCTGACACCTGACTCCAATAATCTTTAGCCTTGGAATAAAGTGTTACTGGTGTGTCAACTAGAGGTTGACAAATAGATATATTACGTCGTAATGAATGAAGTTCTAGGGGTGCAGCAGCAACTGTTTTTGAACGTCCACCTTCATGTCTACTTACAGTAGGCAAGTTGGAGTTTGTAGCACTTCCACTCTGTGGAGTTTTCGGTATTTGAGTAGATGCCTTAAAAAAAAATTAAGGGAGAGAAAATGAATGAGAACATACATGTAGTTGCCTGTATGTATGCAGAAATATAGTAGGAGACTTAGCGAAAATGAAACCAAATGATATAAAGCTGGAGAAACGAACACCTAATGCAGTCTCTCTTTATATGCTGTGAGAAAATAGACAACTCCTATAATATCTACACTACACTATTGTAAGAAGCTAAAAAAATATTCTCATAAACAATCTGGCAGTGAACCGAGTGCATCAGTAACTTTCATGTTGAAGTCGGAAAAATACAATATGGAAACTAACCACAGTCCACTCAAATTTTGATGATACTAGCGGTTGCAAAAAAAACCAAGACATATGCCTAATGAAACTTGGAAGCAGGTTAGCTTAGTTGAAATGCAGACCATCCAATTGATCAGTCTCTATGGATATATGGGCTGAGTCGAAGCCCCGATATTACCTGCATTTTCAATTTTAATGCGAATCATAGAGTGTCTAGCAGTGAAATCAAGGATGCGCGTTTCGTCCTATTTGATACTCGTTAGCCCGATGCACGTACCCCCCCCCTGCAGTGAGCAATGTTGTTCTCATTGAGTCGAACCCGGAACCAATTGCCTCAAACGCGACTAGGACACAGAAGCACAATAGCCACTTCTTGTGCGACGGGAATAGATTATATGATGTTGCTTGTATTACCTCGGCGTTGATTGCTCTCTACTGGTACATGGGTTCCTACGTCGATGCCTTGATATTGCCTGTATTCTCAGTTTTTAGTGAGAACGACATCGCTCATTTGGAGGCAAGTACATCCAGCTGACGAGTCACAAATAGGAGGAAAAGTGCGTTCTGGATTCCGATGGTAACCACTATCCATTATTAGTATTAGGTTTTATATTCAAACACTTCTCATATTACTCGGATTTGGCGAAACAAACCGTATCACTGATCCTGGCACAGGAGCAAAAGTTCAATCACATGATCCCCAACCTCACTATCAATCTTTGCTGAGAGATAGTCACAGTTTACATCCACAACCTTATACACATCTGTGCAGTAGACAATGGATCACATATCTTGTGCAACGGCTAACTGGTTGTCAAAACCTCGGTAGGTGGAGTTGGGTTCAAGAAACCGTGGCCAGTCAGTTGGAGAGATAGTGCCTAGATCTAAGAGACATAAAGACGCACAAACAACACATGTATGTCATAGTCTCTTGTATATGAACCTGCATCTAATCTCTGATTTGTACGCTTCTGACAACTCATAATCATTTTCTTAAAAACACTCCATACTTCAATGTTTTATATATTATCGCTCATATAAGTGAAAACTTTGATCAATAATTCATGGAACTAGATAAACCCATCAAAGAAATGCATATGAACCTTTAAAAAGTTACTCGAGTTTCCTCTTCACAAATCAATCATCACTAACACAGACGCCAGATGAAAACAAAACAGAAGTGATTAAATAGCACAGAAAATGAATAACAACAAGAACAATTATACTTCATAATAAGATTTATTTATTTGTGAAATATAAACAAAACAATTTTACATAGAACACTTGAAACACTGAGTAATGCTTTTTTTAAACAATAATCATACACATAGGGAAGAAATTGTATTAGGCTCGTCTTTGAGTAAACGATGGACTTGTACCTGTATAAAGAATAAAAATGCAAAGAATGAAATTATCAATCAATGAAGCAATGAGTATAGAGTCTCAAGTAAACTATCACATCAATAGTAATGATGGTTAGTGGGTAGCAATGGGACCCATGATGCGCATTTCGTCCTATTTGGGACTCATCAGCTGGATGTACCTGCCTCCCTTTCAGGGAGTGATGTTGCTCCCACCGGGATTCGGACTCGGAGCGATCGCTTCAAATGCGAGAGCGTTATCCACTACACCACCAAGCCACGATAGCCAGTTCTTGTGCGATGGGTATAGTTTTAGTATTATTGCTTGTATTACACCGTCGCATAAGAAGTGGCTATCGTGGCTTGGTGGTGTAGTGGATAACGCTCTCGCGTTTGAAGTCATCACTCCCGAGTCCGAATCCCGGTGGAAACAACATCACTCATCGAAAGGGAGGCAGGTACATCCAGCTGATGAGTCCTAAATAAGACGAAATGCGCATCCTAAATTCCACTGCTACCCACTGTCCATCATCACTACACGTAATTAAAACACAGGCAATATCGAGGCATCCGCACAGGAGCCCATATGCCAACAGAGACTAATCAGTTCGGTCCAATCAATGACGGTGTAATACAAGCAATAACACTATCACATCAATAATTTGAGAAAGGATCATCCAGTTTATACTGAAAAAAATAACCTAATTCCGTAGGAATATAATGAATTAAGGTGATCAGCTTTTGCATTGCAAGATGGATCATACATTCATTTTACAAAACAAAACGCCCCAGTAAATTAATAGTAACATACATAATCACCCGTATGAATTAAATGTATTCATATAAAATGTGTGTAAACAACTCAAAATATCATAAAGAAACGAACTTTTAACTATTGGAAAACAAAACATTCGCTTACTGAATGCATCTTGGAGTTCAGAAAACTCTGTAAGGATTCAAGCTTCCTCAGATCACTGTCTGTCTCTCTCATATCCTTATCTTTTAATCATCCTTCCTGTCTTTCAGTCAATTTACCTAAACCATCTCCAATTTTTTCCAGCTCTAAAGCTTTCAACAATGATCTGAGTTCATAGAACAGCACCCCTTTTTTTTTAGAAACATCCCTTTAAATTATACATTGGAACTTTCAGTGTTTGCACTCTCCATCAAATCGACCAACAAGCTTCATTAGTCAAAACTCCAGCAACTTGGGTTATGGATGTGTGCTGTATTCGTGAGACACGTATACAGAAACCAAGTGAGGTTACTCACCGAACCTCACTCGGCCAAAATGGTGAATCCGTAAAATACCCCCCCCTCGGGCTTTTGGAGATCCAACATCCAGCTCTAGCAGTCCTGAAGATATAGGTATATCACTGAGCATTTAGGCAGAAAGTCTTCTACTCAACTGGATCCTAATTGACACTCGCCTATGCGTTGTGAGGACAAAAAGGAATAGTGAAACTTGCCACTAACTCTTCATAATGCTCTGTTTACATACCCAATGAAGGATGAGTTCTACCGATAACTGTCTAGCCTCCTAATGAAAGTTAAACATTCAGATATGATTATTGTTGTTGTAGGTGATTTCAATACACAAATGCGCAGACTAAGTCAGGCAGAAAGGCACTTAGTTGGCACTTTCCGAATTCAAGCCGAAAGAACAAATCGCCTGCTACCATTGTGCTTAGACAATCATTTATTTCTAGTCAGAAAGAAGTTCAGACTGATTTATATTTCTTTCTTTATCTTTTATTTTACTATTTCGTGCTGATATGAAATATGGTTAGATCTTTACACAAGTAATGTCTAGTCCTATGTTGATACTGACCGACTGAAATATACCTGCGGTTACGTCAAACAATTTCATAAAGAACAATATCCAAAGCATAATAATATGGCCAGACATATGCGTACCAGGAGTTGTGAGTCATACTTATTTCACTAAATGTGATGATAAAACTTGGTTCCTAAAAATTTCAGAAGCTTAAGCAAAGTCAAACTTTCGAAACAGCTAGTTGAAAGTCGAATGGTTGAGTTGATGAGCTACAGTCAATGTAACTTACACAATAGGATGATACCATTCTATATACTTATTCCAACCATACAAATAAACAGTTTATAACTAGTGAATTAGAAATCATGTAATAAAGATGGAATTCTGTTTCAAGGCTCTTTCATCAGAAGTAAACTTCGATAAAATTAGCATCTAAAACAAGTGTAATATAGGCAACACTGATTAAATTCTCACCCAGTAAAAATACTAGTCTGCTAAACTACGGCTATCTCAGATAGTTTAAATGATAATCTATATGATGCTACCCCTCTCTAAATCAAGTTACATTTGAATTGGGATAAGAAGTCTTGACCAGGCAGCTAATGTGAATACGATCAAGTGGTAGTAACGTGTCACGAATTCACATGATAGTCGGGTAAAACCCCTAATGATCTAAGTGAAATGAAAATCTGGTCAGCAATCGGACTTCATAGCTCAGTTGGTAGACCATCGGGCCAGAAACCCGTGTGGTGGCTGGTTGGAATCCGGTCACGGTCCAAATTTTCATTTTACCTTCAATCATCACCTAGTACATATTTACCGATAAACGTACTGAAAGGCGAAGCAGGCATATTTCCTCCAGGCGGTGACGCTTGTGCCAGTGATCCGAAAGTCAGATTATCCGGTTTATTTCCCAAGCTAAAAAAGAGAAAAGAGGAAGATGAAAAGAAGCCATAAAACAAAGTTTTGCTACTTATAATAGTAATGATAGTAATAATAAATGTCGTAATCGTAAAATCCCTAGTCTATACATCAGTTAAACAAACATACATAGCAATTTAGAATATTAAGTAGTAGTACATCGGTTTATACATTTCATAAATCACAACAGCATAGAGAAATCAAATCAAAAAAGATAAACATAAGCAGAGGTGAGGATTAGACCATGAAGAGTAACCACATGTTCAATACTAACAGAAATTTAAAGTATACACCCATCTTCACCATCACTAGATTTCTTATGCCTTTTTACTCAAGGATTACAAATACTGATGCATAATGTATCTATTCAATATACTACTTCCAAAATATGTACTTCCCTGCACAAACTAAACGACTCTGTAAACCATTGTCATAAGTTGATCTAGTGTCTACTGAAGGTATGGTTCACTAGTCTAGGCACTAAATTGTCAACTAATAGATTACAAGTGAAGACAAACAGAATGACATCTCAACCAACGTCATCAAGCATTCTGTGCCTTAACTTTATCAACAATTTTAGAAAAACCTCCATGATCAACTAAACAATCTGACTGCCAAGTGGTCTTAATACACACCTCAAAGTATCACAAAGATATCTAAGACTGAATATTCAACGGTGTTTAAGAGACGACTGTTATGTCGAATGCATCCAACAAGCTTGTGGACATCCGTGAAGTAGACAATGAGTCACACCTATTATATGCGGGTTGGCTGCTTAAACCTTCGTGCCAAGTAAGTACATCACGTTATTGAAAGCTCTCTACTCGAATACTTGTGGGCGTATTAGAGCCTATGGTGAGATGTCAGGTGAGCTGTTTTCGTCGAGCGGTGTTCATCAAGGCTGTCCACCCTCTCCATTCTAATTCAATTTTATCATAGATATTCCTATGGAGGTTTCCCTCTCGTCACCTGATTACACAGACGTTGACCTAATCGGTGGAGAATTTTCAATAGACCTAGATTATGCAGATGACATAGTCTTGTTAGGCGAAGACGCTGACAAGATGCAGAGTCTTCTGAACACCTTAAATACCAATTTGAGAATGTTCGGTATGAGTTTCTCACCACCCAAATGCAAATTAATGCTCCAGGATTGGTCTTCAACACTGCCTAGGCTAACAATAGAGAGTGTACTGGTTGAGTGTGTTGACCACTTCACTTATCTGCGAAGTAGAATCATCACTACCCTAATGGCTCAGTGGCCAGTGAAATCTCTGCACGGATACAAAAGGCTCGATTGGATTTTGCCAATATCCAATTGTCTATTCAGGGTCATCTGTACTGCACCTGCACAACAGTCCACTCTGCTCTACTCTATGGCTGTAAAACGTGGCCATTGAAGGTAGAAAACATGAGAAGGCTTCAGGTGTTTGACCACCCTTGCCTTCGTAGCATAGGCCGTATTCTCTGGTGTCACCACATGAGTAATGCAGAAAGAAGTCAGACGCAGAGTTTTAGGGAGTAGAGGTAAATCTGTTGACGAGGTTGTGAACCTTCATCGATTGAGATGGTTGGGACACGTATTACGTATAGCTAGTCACAGATTGCCTCAGCACACAATGTTGGCTGAAGTAGGTCCAGACTGGAAAAAGGCTCGAGGCGGCCAGACTAAAACATGACACCAACGCTTGAAGTCTCTGACTGTTGGTTTGAGCCATGTCAAGGGATACAGACTAAGTGGTTGAGGTCCACGGGAGACAAGAGGAATCAGTGGTTGGAGACTGACTCTAGGTGATATGGCTGAGAACCGATGTCAGTAGCGTAGATGGATACACACATTGACCTAACATCTTAACGATGCAATGCCGAATCTCACCATTTCCCCATTCTTCCTTTCTCTCTTTGAGTACTTTATATTTCTTTTGACTGCATTCTCTTGTCTTCATCTTGCGCCTCACTGCCTTTTTTACTTGATGCACTGATATGAGGTGTGGCAACTCAGACCGTTACGCAGTAATGCTAGGTCCTATGTTGATGGATGGTTAGATGGAGAGTAGTAGTAGTAAACGAACCTTTTTATCTGTGAAAAGAAGGCGACAACAGACAGATACCACTTATCTTATCTTAATGCTGATAAACTAAAGGTTGAATGTTGGTTACTATTAGCGCTACGACAGCGTACATGGATGTCTAAATTTCTTATTGATGTATTCATGATCATTTAATAGTCTCTCAAGAACGGTACAATTCGATAATTCGACACCATAGAGTGATTTCGATCTCCTGTACACATTGCAAAACAGAAAAACACAAGCAATACAAAATGTACCAATGGACGCTGTTGTACAAACTACTTACGCAGCGAATAATCCACCACCAGCAGGTGGATTGGTGTTCGTACCAAACAAAGAACCACCAGTAGGTGCAGCTGAACCAAACAATCCAGCACCAGAATTGAACGCTGCAGTTCCACTCATTCCAAATAATCCTTGTCCAGAAGGGTTAACACTTCCAATCCCACCGAATGAAGGGCTGCCAAAAATTGGTGGACTTCCGAAACCACCAACATTAGTGGGAGAAGTCTGACTTCCAAAAAGACCTGTGCCTGAATTGACATTTGAGCCTAAACTACTAAACAGACCATCACTGCCACCACTAGTAGCTGTGCTAGAAGCGGGAGAATTGAATAGAGAGGATCCAAAAACAGAATTGCTAAAAGGACTAGACTGTGAGACTAACGGTGGATTTGACACATTAGTGTTACTTTGAGAAACTGAACTAGGTGAACCGAATAGAGTTGAAGCAGAGTTAGCTATAAAAAAAAAGATATATATATTTGTAGTAAGCATAAATCATTAAAATAGATTTATCGCTGAACAAAAATCATCTATAATGTAAGGAAGAGATGAATAACTGTTACGTAGCGACAAGAAGGCAGCCAATAGGGGAGTTTTCAAGTCGTGATCAGATCATGTTCAGGTCATGATTTATACATGCGCTGACATGAGGACCTGACTGAAGGAATTCGACCTCGTACAAGAAATCTGATTGGTTCACTTGTGGCTTCACTTTCTGAGAGTTTTGTAAATACATATATACATAAAAGTTGTTGTCGCTGTTTCTTGCAGTCATAGGCCGTCTTTGTCTTCTGATTTTACCGCGGCTCAGTGAAGCAGAAGGTACTGAGGGAGGTCAGTTGTAAAGGTATTCAGTTGAGGTATCTATTGAGTCCGAGTATTCATTATACCCACGCGCGCAACCCCACCACTCGGTCACAACAATAACCAGCTTCAATCATAAAATAATGTGCTCTTAGATGGTGCTTTCTCTAAGATAGCATATACTGAAGAGTAAATTCTCGTGGGAAAATGTTCACTACTTCAAGTTCCCAAACTTTCCAATGGTTTAAGGATGGAGGGGAGGAGTAGGTAATCAAAGAGGAAATTACTTTAATCAGCGAGAAGAAAGATAAATGCAAACGGAATAACAGTGAATTAGTAATCTGGTTGTAAGCAACTAACTGGAAGCTGTAAGCAGAGGTTTTATGCTTCTCGACAATCGTCAGTGTGGTGCATTCGAAAGGAGCTGAATTTCTTTCAGAAATCCAAACCAATAATACACAATAGTGCAGTCACTGACACTACTACTTAGCTATTCCGGCTATGACTGACCACCGATGCTCGTAAGCAAAAAAGGCTAAACATCTGTACACGTCCAAGAAAAGCAGTTATGCTTTTGTCCAACCCCTCTTAAGTTTTTTATCCCAATCCTATTGAACCCAGCATACAGCGTTGGAGTCTTCAGTCGGTTTGTATTCCCAATACCTCCAAGTAATCAAACTAGTCAACGGATGTTCACAACGTCGTTAAATTATTTGCCATTGACCTTTAGTATTGTTTATACTGTCGTTCTACTGGAAACGAATTATATCTCTACAATGTTAAACAAGTATCTTTCAAGTTCCTTTCGTTGTTATCCTTTAATGGGATGATATAAAGATCGTGAATTTGAAAAGAGTAGAATCCCGATTGTCATAAGATGGTTGAAGAGTGCGGAAAAGCACACTTGTACTTATCTAATGATTTCTTGATAATAACAGATTGTTTCAAACTGATTGCGATATAGAAAATCGTAAATAGGGAACAGCTTAAAGTTGATAGAAAAGATTTGTGGTTCAGAATGAAGATGATAGTTGTTCAGTGTCTTTCTCAAGTTGGTATTCATTGTGGACCGACATCAGTTGGAGGAACATTGGGAACCTGGGAGCACTGGACAGCTGTTACTTCTTAGGGTGAGGCTTCGGGAGATCGCACCCTCCGACCCCCACACCCCAGGGGTCGGACTCGAGACCTTCAGGTTCCGTGACCAGCACGTTACCACTGAGTCATTGGGTCAGAATTCAGTGGTCAATATTTCCAAACTGTATCAGTTCACGACATAGCACGACCGCCACGCAATGTCATAGTTGAGTATTTGGCCTCATAACCACCAGGTTTGCCCCACTGGTCACGACTTCTCATTGGAACTTCGGGAATCATCCTTAGAAGCTAGTCACCAATGAGCATTAGCTCCGTGTTGATCATGGAACCTGGAGGTCACGGGTTCGGTCCCTGGCGGGATCGTAATGCTGAGGAGTCCCATACTAGGACGAAACAGCTGTCCAGTGTTCCTCCAACTGATATCAGTCCATGATGAATACCAACTTGAGAAATCTCTAAATCCCCACAAACTCCTAAATTTAATTGTTCAGTGTTTTCCAAACTTTCACGTTTGTATTTGGCGGTATGTGGGGATTTAGTGATTTTTAATTTTGGCATTCATTATGCACTGACATTAATTGGAACATTGGAAACTTGAAAGCACTGGATAGCTGTTTTGTCTAACTAGTATGGCACTCTTCAGCAGTGAGCACCTACTACCCTGCATCCCAGGGATCGACCCCGCGACCATCAGGTTCCGTGGCCAGCACATTACCATTGAGTCATTGGGTCGGAATTCAATGGTCCATATTTCCAAATTCTGCGAGTTCAAGTTTGTTCTTTTACATCAAATAACTATCAGAAATCACAGTTGTAACAGTCAAATAGATAGAAATGATCAATGTTCAATCGAGTAAGCAAGTAAGCGAGTAAGTAAGACTGACAAACATTTCAACAAAATCCAAACTACTAACCTTGATTTCCAAAAGCTTTACCGAAAATGTTTTGAACAGGATTTGAAGGTGCTTGATTTCCACCGAGATTCAGGCTGTTCACTGAGAATAAACTGTATCGTAAAACGAGAATAATAATTGCATAAAAATCTTAGAAAAGTAACAAAGTGAGGCTATGCATACACTCATACAGTCTTAGTTTTTCACTAGGAGACTTGAAAACCGGATCGAATACCTAGAAAATCTTATGCTATCCAAAAAGCGAACCAAATTCTAGGAAATTTTCTTCAATATAATACACAGCATTTTGTATTCTACAACACTTTTACAAATATACGATATAAAGCCGAAACGCTTAATAAATCTTCCCATGCTGAAGATTCTGATTAATTAAGGATTCTCTTAAAAGACTCATGACAGTAACTTCTACAACTATGAACAGTGGCCTTCTTTATATCTTGTTTTTGTGAGTCTGGGAAAAATTATCTCCAAAACAATGCATCTGTAGAACTTTGATTCATTGGTTAAGGGAGATGAATTTCAACCGATAACCAGCGGGTTAGAATCGACGTTTGGGCAGCCAGGCAATCCTAACACAAAAGGTCTACTTCACAGATACGCCCAAGGTTATAGAATCCACCGGAAAAAAAACTTGTAGAATTTGATACACCACAAACAACTGGCTTAACTTATTTCATAAAATTATTTCAATGTCTTAAAAATGTACCATAGAACATTGAGTTCTCAATGATCGACAAAATAACAAAGATAAAGGTGATAATTGACTAAATACAGAGAATGCATAAAAACAAGATGAAACTGGATTATTACTACCTGTTAGCTGCGTTTGCATCTGTCCCCATCACTGAGCCTAAATAAAAAATATGTGGAAAAAAAAGCTATTTGCAAAAGCAAAAGTAGTTGGCTAAGCATAATACAAATGATGAAAAAAAGTACGATAATTTCTGCCGAAACCAACAATACATATGAGCACAAAACAATGTCATAAGTGACAAACAGCAATATAATTTTAAAGAGGATTACAAAGAATTCTATATAATACTCCTTTGTCTGATACAAGTTGGCAGAGGAGGCAGCGAAGACGAGACTTCCTTCAAGTGAACATAGAGAAGACAGAGGTGATGAAGATAGCCAACCGACTGGCAACCACGACAACAACAAGCATCAATCACCATCAATGGGAAAAATCTGAATAAAAGTTGTCTTCTTCATCTAGCTACCTAGACAGCATCCTTTCAGCTACAGGTGGCGGAGGCGGAGGTGGAGGCGGTGGCGGTGGCACACATGAGGATGTCAAAGCCACGATCGGAAAGACAGCAACACAAACCTTCCTGCATCAATCTGAAATCAGTGTGGAGATCGACTGCACTCCACTTCACTTCACTCCACTCCACTCCATTCAGCATAAAGCCTCAACAACATCCGGATTCTCAACACTAAGTCAGTCAAGTGAGTCAGTGCTTCTATGTGATGGTTGAGAGACTTGGCGCCTTATCAAAAGCATTTCCAACAAACTACAGATACAGATATACACCATCAACACCTGCCGCCTACGCTTACTCAACTCGATACTGATACTAAAGATCAGATGGCCAGAATAATAATAAGCAACAAGGAACTCTGGTTGGTAACGAACCAACCAGGAAACTATCGCCTAACAAATATGCAGAAGAAAGTGAAGATGGATTGGATAGGATTGGACATACACTGAGAAGACGGTTTGGGGACATCACGCGTCAGGTCAGGCAGTCGAGTGGAACCCAAATGGGGACGGAGAAACGACGAGTTGGGCGTCTAAACTGAGGGTGACATGGAAGAGATGGTGTGAGGAAGAAATGAAAGCTTTTGGACAGTCGTGGATTCAGGTTAGGAAGACTACAAAGAACAGAGTGCAATGCAGGCGTGCTACTGAAGCCCTATGTTCTACTAGGAACCTAAAGGACAAATAATAATAAATTGTTTGATACAACACAAAGTGAGATGGTCAGGATATCAGACATTTGAATACAGGATGTAGCACAGAAATGGGTCGTTCCACGTATTCGAAAAGAAAGTCAACACAAGTGAAAGAGTACAAGTATGGAGATGTCTTAAAGATTGCAAACATCCCTACACTCGTCACCGATTTCGAGTCACATTACCAAAAGTCATCGACCATCGACTATCAATATGAGGTGATCACAATCATACACAAAGCATCACCACCCCAAACACGACTAACAACGACATCATCAACTGCTACCACATATCCACATCAACACCACCTTTAACTTTCATCTAAATTAAAAACACTTTCACCTATGTCGCACATTGACCCAAGCGATAAGTCAGCACGTACAACACTCGGTGAAAAATCGACAACCTTATCCACACAGTCGGCTTCTTCACCCATTACTTTACACCTAGCGCCAACACTCCAACAGCTGGTTGCACCACAAATAAGCAATGCTACAAGTACATCCATGATCAGAAATCTGTTTTCTATATTGAACGACTAAACTTCACAATTATACAATTAGAGAGGGTAAACAACTGCGCAACATATTTGTCGCATGATGGATAATTGAATATCCCATCGGTGCTAAAAATGCTTCAGTTCGGCAAACGTTAAATGAGCATTTTGCATTAAAGCTGAAATTTCCTTTTGCCCTGTTATACGGCTGTAAGACATGGTCGTTGAAAGCAGAAGATATAGAGCGGTTGAAGGATTTCGATCATAGGTGTCTTCGCAGAATTGCTCGTGTTTGGTGGAAACACCATGTGAGCAATGTTGAAGTCAAGCGAAGAGTACTAAGCAAGGCAGACAAGTCGATTGATTAGACTGTGAACCATAGTCGACTGAAATGCCTCAACACATACTGTGGATGCCGAGTCACAGCCTATCTAGACGTGCCGCACTACAGGAAGTTGGATTAGGTTGGAAGAGGGTTCAGGGTGACCAAACCAAGATGTGACACCACTCCATGCGATCCCTAACTGTTAATTTGAGCTATATGAGGAGATGTAGACTACTTGGCTCGTGCCTGAGACACGACAGAAACCAATGGTTGAGGACTGCTGATGAAATGGCTGAAAATCAATCGGTCACAATGGTGAAGATGTATTCACTCTTACATAGTCTTCCAAAGCTGGAATGTTTGCACAAACCGTTATCTTCAGATTATTTATTCTCTCACACAACTTTATCTACTTTGATATCAATCATTTTCTATCCACTTGTTCTTTATATACTACTGTGAAGTGCAGCAACTTGAAACGATGCACTTCTGTGCGAAGTTCTACGTTGACTTCGTTTATCTGTCTATTTGTGATCAATCCAATAGGCTTGGTATAAATCAACAAGTGATAAATGCATCCTACCATTTCATATCCAATGCTCAAGCTGAAAGTCGATGAAGACAGTTTCTGAAGTATCATCTTACCTTTAATATATGTGAACATTGGACATTCTTAGCAAACATACTGATTGTTGCTCCTTCAGAAGACATTTATCCAGTAAAGATTTACATTGTTGGATGACTTCCAGTACACAATGGTGATTAACACAATGTACACACTTGGCAGTTCTTTCATAAATAAAGACCACCATGACAACCCTCGATCAACAGAGTCAAATACCATTTTTAGGTTAAGAGATACAACTAGTCTCATGCATCAGTATATCTTTGCTTTAAAACCTACTTAAACGTGATATGATTGTTAAGCCCTCATCCAGATCCCAGATACGTCTGGTTTTCTTAAGTTTTTCATTCCCTAGCTCCAAACAAGCGTCAGATAATTAAACATCTGAGGATGGCATATTCGGTGTTACTCAAAATGATTCTCCTGTGGGTCACAAGAAAACTGGAATGTTCAGCAATCTAGACCAGTCAAACGAGACTGTCAATAATTTTCATACATTAGCTAGTACCTTAGTTACTCTAATCAATAACTTTCCAACTTTATATGTTTTGTATCATTATACGTTAATATTCTGAACGGAGATGCTATACTGTTGCAATTCGGTCACCGGTCACTTCCTCAAACACCAAGAATGACTGACTAACTGACTAACGAAATCAAAATAGGACCTCGCACAGAAGTGAATCGTTTCAAGTTGCCACACTTCATAGTAGTATACAAAGAACAAGTGGATAGAAAATGACCGATATCAAAGTAGATCAAGTAGTGTGAGACTTCATCAAATGATATAAGGTCTCGGTCTAGCCATCCTGACCCTCCTCCAACCTAATCCAGCTTCCTCTAGTATGGCACGTCGTGGTAGGCGGTAGCTCGGCATCCACAGCACATTTCGTGGGATTTCAGTTAACTAAGGTTCACAGCCTCATCAATCGACTTGCCTATCTTGCTTAGTAATCTTCGCTTGACTTCAACATTGTTCACATGATGATCCTACCAAACGTGAGCAATACTACGAAGACGCCGCGATTAATAATTAAAACAGAAACTGACAAGAACCAACAGGTTTTTTAGGTACAAGCTGGGAAAAGCAATCAATCAACGATAAGAAACTAATAATGAATGATATTTATCGTGTCTTTTGTAGCACGTATGCAAGCAGTTAATAAGGTGGGTCAAAATAACCTTATTATTAACAAACCCATTTGTTGTACTAATAGTGCAGTTGAATAAATCTACTCATAGGCAAAACGTAATAAAAGAAATAGTACTAGGTCCTATCGTGACTGCAGAACTACTTAGACAATAGGGAATTCTGCACGAAAGTCAAGAAGTTCTACTCAACTTGGAGAACATCAGCGTCTGGTGTTTCACGAGCAGTAATACTGAGTCCATTGTTGTTCCTACTGTTCGTGAATGACCTCTGGCTGCATATCAGCTCTCCGATTCTCCTCTACGCTGACGACGTCAAACTATGGAGGGCAGTAACTTGCGAAACGGAATCCAGTGCAATACAGAACGATCTTAAAACATTAGAGGAATAAGCAAAAATAACGAACTGGCATTTAACCTGGGTAGACGCACGTTCATGTTTTCCCTCACTCCTGATCCACAGAAAGTATCCTACTTTCTCTGTGGTTCAAATTTATCTCATACCGCAACAGAAAAAGAGCTGGGTTTAATAGCGATGGGTAAACTGGACACCAGTTCCAATTACCCAGGAGATACCTCAAAAGCATACGGTGTACTATACTCCGCGTCCAGACAACTAAGTGCCCTCACACCAGAGCTCTTTTTGAAGCTCTACAAGACTTACATACGACCCCACTTGGAGGTCAATAACGTCTTCGCTCCACCACAACTGAAAAGAGGCATGAACCCACTGGACAAAGTTCAGAGGCGAGTCACAAAAGGGGTTGTTGGGATGCAACAAAAACTATATGAGGATCAACTGAAAGACCTAGGCCTATACTCTGTTAGTTTCAGAAGGTTACGAGGTGACTTGATAATGGATTACAAAATACTGAATAACCCAAGTCACCCGAATAGAGGAATACTACCGAGTGGCCACTATGGTAATTTTCTTGGAAGCCCTAAGAGAATTGCCCACCAAAGATCAAAAACTCATGTGTGTTCACACTTCTTCCTCCTTCGAGTCTGCGGGCACTGGAATGCATTACCAACAGAGGTAGTCTCCACACCATCTGTTGAAAGTTTCGAGAAAGGGCTAGACAGTCACTCAGAGACCCACAGTCTACCCAAATGTAGCCGGAATACGAACTAAACAGAAGAAATCAAATGCTGTCACGCCACTCCAATTATGTTACATCTACACCACTTTTCTTTCTTCTGTAACTATTTGAGCCCTTTTCATCCCTTGCACTTGCTATGAATTAGCCTCACCTACCTAAGTTCTTCATATCTTTGCACCCCCGTCGACTTACTCCAATAGTTCACTTTTCTTTGCCTTTTACTCACATAAATTTGTCTTTCTAGGTTTCCTCCTTATTACACCCAACTGTCTCTAACGACCAGTTCGAACAACTGTCTGACAACTCGACATCTGAAGAACCCAACTGCACCACAGTCCAAGGCAAACTAACTAATACTTAACCTTCTGTTCTGTATACCACAGCCATAGCAGAGGAGTGGCCGGATCTACTGTGTCGGAATCTGCCAAAGACTTGAAACCGTTCCGCAAGACCGAGAAGTGAGCAAGAAAAAATCGACTGGTTTACACAAGCTCGTTAAACAGATATTGGATATTACAGCTATGTTACTTATTATGTAACGGGTTTTCTTAGAGATAATGATATTTCTCAACAGTTCGAAACAATTTCACTGAGATTTGCGAAGATAACATCTTCATCCCATACATTTTTGGACTGGTCAATTAAAGTGTGACTGCACACGTTTGGTGCTCGGATAACTGTGTTAACACGTACGAAAAAAAAAAAGACAAATGACTTACCGAATAAACCAGAACCAGGAGAATTTGTTGTTGCTTGTTGTGGATTAGTTGTCCCAAAAAGACCAGTGCTAGGAGTTGAATTTACACTGTTAGTCGTTGGTGTATTAAACAATGAGGTTCCCGAAGAAAATTGAAAGAGGCCTGGACTTTTTGTTTGTGCTACAAAGATAATGACAATAGATTCTCTTGAAATTAATTTTCATAGTCTAATGAAGAAAACTATGAAGTGTTGAATTAGAAGATATTTAATATTCTGTTTTACCCTTAACAGGGATCATAAATCTCTAAGGAGAGTGACAGTCGAATATAATGGACATCTGACTATATAAAAAATAAATCAGATTGAAAGTCTGAATGAAGTTACTCCGTAAATTGGGATCAGTTATTCCTCGTTGTTGATTGGTTTGAATTGAATTAGTCGACCTGCATTGCTTTATGGGTTCGTGTCCGGATGCCTCAATACACTCGGTGAGGAGGCAGAAATATACAGCTAGTTATAATAATGGTATGATAATAATCGCTTTATTCCAAACAGTATGTTTTATACAGTATATAATTCTCAGAAAGTCCGCTACCAGAACAATACATTGAAATGAAATGATTACTGCATCCGAATAGTGTTGAACACTCAGTTGGTGTTGGATTAGCTTCCGATCTAGAATTGAAGATGTACAGAAAATCGAATGCATGTTCAGGGATGACGGTTCATTCAGCCAATACAAGAATCTACCACTCGAGCTAAGCGTCCGAGAAGTGGTAATAGGATGAATTTTTACACAAAGAAAAGTTCATTTTCATCAACCTTGACATTTTTTTTCCCTTCAGTTATCTACTCCAGAAACGGTGAACTGAAAACACTTTAAAACTGTGAAGAAGTACATGCTGAGTTCTAAAGACATAATTAAATGATCAAAATAAATTAAAAGCAGAGAATTTGACATAAATGTTCGGTGGGAAATTTTGGTAGCTCATAGGTTTAAGCAGGCTGCCAGGTTAGTCGCAATAATGACGACTACCACTATCTATCCATAATATCAAATTTACTCAATAGTTTAATACATCCACAAGTTGATGCATACAAGTATTTCTCCTATTGTTTACACAAAAGCTATTAGATAATTGATGATAACTAAACGGTCAAGTTATTTTAACAAAACTCTGTTTGCACAGAACTTACTTGAATCACCTCCATGAAACAAACTTGATATAGCCGAAACAGGAGTGTTAGTATTCGTGGATGAAGTTATTGACGGAGATGCAAAAAGACTGCCAAATGTTGCTGATGCTGAGGAGACAACAACAGGGCTGGTTACATTAGTATGGAAAAGTTTTGAACCTGAAACCTGATTCGAAGCTGAGCCAAATAAGAAACCGCCACTTTGAGTTGTCGGAAGTGAACTAAACAGTTTACTACCACCACCTGAAGTATTTGTTAATGAACCGAATAAACCTGACGAAGACACTGTGCTAGTATTGGTTGTTGTGACACTTGTTGTTGCTGTTGAGCCTAATGAAGTTTGAAATAATGGCTTAGATTGTTCAGGTGACTTGCCAAATCCAGGTGAACTGAAAAGACTAGTTAAACTTTGTGTTACTGAAGTACTAGCACTAGTAACAGAACTAGTAGAAACCATTGATATATCTGTTGCGTTTGAGAAACTGAAAACACCGGTAGCAGGTAATGTGGTAGACAAAGCCAAGGTTTGAAGGGAAGATGCATTAGAACCAAACAATCCACTGCTTACAGTAGTAGCACCACCTTTGCCAAAAACTGAAAACAAAAGAACTTGATTAGTTTTCATCTGAGATGATAACATATAGCTAAAACAAAAAAATAGACTTTATGTGGTAACCACTTTATCTTACTTTTAGTTATATACTGGGTGATGATTGAAGGTGAAATGAAAATTTGGACTGCGGCAAAATTTGCTGGTTCGAATCCACCGGCGGCTGAAATTTTCATCTCACCTTCAATCATCACTCAGTATCAATACTAGTCTATTAAACCACGGCTATCTCCGATAATCAAATGATAATCTTACCTGTAGTACCAAATAACGAAGGTGTAGATACAGTGGCAGTCGAAGTGATTCCAAACAAAGACCCAGTATTCGAAACAAGAGTTTCTGTAGTGTATGTAGTAGAAACAGCACTTCCAGATGTATTTACAAGCGAAAAGTTAGTAGGCTGAGAAGCAGTACCAAACAAAAACATACTTGCACTAGTGACAGAAGTGGAGGAAGAAGTAGACGCTGAAAAAAATAATATACAAAACAAGATGTAACAAAAATTCACAATAAAATTAATAATATCCACAGGAAAAAATATTAATCACCTTTTGTAATGATCAATATGAACTAATTTGAGTAAACAGTAAAAAGAAGTAAAATAATAGTCACCTGAAACAAACGACGGTGAACCAAATAATGATTGAGTAGTTGTAGCAGTACTTGATTTTGTTTGATCATTAGAAACTGAAGTTGTTGTAGAAGTAATTGATGTACAGGTATTTTGTTGTTGTCCACTTCCAAAAATTATACCTGTACTACATACTGGAGTTGGTAGAAATGAAAAAAGTCCAGGATTAGAAGAAACAGTTGGTTGAGATGAATTGGTTGACCAATTTACTGGAGATGGATCTGTTATCTCTATTTCATTTTGTTCTTGACTTTTCTTATCAACAGACTGACTAGTTGGAGTGGTAGTAATGAGATTTGCGTCAACTGTAAACATAAGTTACACGTATAAAATGTGTACAACAGAAAATATTCATGCTACAATTCCACAAAATGAAATGACTAATAATGAAGTCCAGGACGCAGGTTTCGTCCTATTTGAGATTCGTCAGCCGAAAGATCAGGTGTCGCTGCACCCTAGTGAGTAATGTTGTTCCCATTGAGACAGAAATCTAGTACTCATCACTTCAAACACAAAACCGTTATTCGGCCCTGTATAGCAATGAGAAATTACAAGTATCGAACTATAACTGATACTCGTTGCACCATAGGTGGCTCTCCTGTCTTAATGGCTTAAAACTTTGATGTTTGTAGCGATGGGCCCTGACTTCAAGTCCCAACGAGAACAACATCACTCACTGGGGAGTGCAGGTATATCCAGCTGATGAGCCCCAAATAGGACGAAACGCATGTTCCAGATTCTACTGTTAGTCAGTAAGATGAATACAACACTATGAATAATCCAGCAATATCAAAGCATCTACACAAGAAACCCATCTACCAACAAAGGTCGATCAATTCAACCCTGCATAGTAACGGGAAATTATAAGTATCAGAAAAATATTTGTAATCTTTAATCAACTTTCCCGATAATCGATCGTATATAAGTTTGTTATTATGATCACTGTGTTATACGTTTGGAATATTTTTGCAATTATACTTTCTATTTTTCGTACATTGATCAGAATAGATCACCAAAGATATACAGTTACTATATCGGATGACAATTCAAAGTTAATTGGTTGACTAAAAATTATCAAGTCGGATCACCATCATCATCATCATTGAAGGCTCCAATATGTAATTTGGAGCGTGGTTTAAGGAGACCAGTGATGCTGTTCTGTGGACTCAGATCGTTGTCGGAGGCTGCAGAGGTAGGAGAAATTGAAGATGATGCAGCATCATTAATTAAGAGACGTGAAGGAAGATTAGAAGGTAATGATGGAGGAAGTGGATAGCAGTCAGAAGAAACTTGAGTGCTGACAGAGTTGTGAGGGCGGTTGACACTTCCCGACTGCCCACACCGTGGAACGCTATTTCTTCTTAAGGTACCTGAAAGAGATTTGTGTGACCGCAGAGCCCATCGGACATCTGCTTGAAACCTGTCACACTCAGCCTTTTGAGTATGATTATTTTGAACTTTTGTATTTTTGGGGCCGGATGAACGAAAGGAAACGACAAGTGAACCAACACAGCCGGTGCAGCACACCGTGGGGCATCGTGGAGTGTGTTATTTTTGGGGCCGACCTTTTCTAACCCCCCCCCTCCACTGAGAAGGCAGCATCAGCATGGCACTGCTGGTCATCCAAGGGAAACACCTTACTGCTATCACACCCCATCCAGCTAGCAGCAGTACGACTTCGCCCTCAGACCCCCATCATAGTGTAGCAATTTACACTATAACGGTAACTGCTTTCCGTCTAACCACTATCCAACAGACCTTTCTGGTATGGTAGGACCTCGAGGGAACAAGCATTTCACTAGCATAGCTCGTTGGGTCATTGTGATATGCAAGCCCGACCACCACGTCAAGGTAGCAGCTATCGGTCGGAGGTCGGATCACCGTATTCATACAGTTTATATGGTTGTATCTATTGCCGAATTGAGTACAGTTGTTTGATTTTTGCAGTTCCTAAATAATCGTTGTATAAAACTTCTGCTCTGATAAACTGAGTGGTGCGTTTCATAAAACAAAATTAACGATCACCTTTAAGTATATATAGAGTTAACTATTTGTGAATTACATTCATGATAATTCCCTTTATATGAGCTAACTTTATGTAATTGGAAACACTTACGAAAGTAATGAATGCCAAATGAAATATAAAATTCACGTATTATACCAAGATTCAGACAGATTTTAAACGTATGATACTGTCGTGAAATAAAAGATAGGCATCTGTTGGTGTATAAAGACTGCACAGGTGGAATCCAAGGTATTATGGAAATTAAGTGACTTTAGACAGTGTCAGATATAAATCAAAGTATGAATAAATGGTGACAATACTGTGGCTTCTTTATTTCTTCTGTTATCGAAATTCATTTAGCTAATATCAACATAGGGTCTACCACTGCCAAGTAATGCTCTAAGTTGCCACACTCCATATCTTCACATCAACCAAGAAGGGACCAAGAGTGAAATATAAAGAAATAAAAAAGAGAGTAGTAGTTCGAAGTGATATAGAGTTCTAAAGAGAGATAGAAGAAATAAGATAATCATGGATTCCAGTGTGACAATCAATATGAGGATATTGTGTGGATGTCTATGTGCCGAAGAGATTGATTACTAGCCACAACACCTACTGTATCTAATCACCGAGTTCGGTTTTCATGTGGACCCCCACTGAGAAGTCTATCTTTCCCTATGCAACTCAGACCAACAGTCAAAGATTATCGAAAAGTAAGAATAAAGTAGTATTCAGCGTTTCCGTAAATGCAAACTACTTTCATAATATTAGTGTTATTGCTTGTATTCAGCAATAACACTAAAATTATACCCGTCGTGCAAGAAGTGGCTATCGTGGCTCATTGGTGTAGTGGATAACGCTCTCGCGTTTGAAGCGATCTCTCTCGAGTCCGAATCCTGCTGGGAACAACATCATTCACTAAAAGGGAGATCCATACAGCTGACGAGCCCCAAATAGGACGAAATGCGCATCCTAGATTCCACTACTACCCACAATCCATCATTACTACTTTAGTAATAGTTGCTTTTTGTCTTCCTTTCTCATTCTTTTCCCTTAAAATCTTTCATTTCCCTTTACGGTAATTGGATTATTTTTTTTACTGCGCACTACTTACTGACAGCTGTTTATGTTAAGTGGTAATAAAAAGAACATATAATGGTGGTCGACTGACGTCAAACAGACTACAAAGCCAATGTTAAACAAACCAGAAGACTACAAAGCCATTACAAAACTTAGTTATTTCCCATACATCACTACCCTAAGGCATTTCAAGAGAACATAGAAAGTCGAATACATAGGTCATAGTACAGCAAAACCCTGAAACCAAGCACATATTCATCCATAAAAAAGTACGCGCTATACACTGTGTAGTGTGCGCAATTGACGCTGACATTGCCTAATTGTTCAAATCGTAGTAGACGGTAGTAAAACTAGTCACTGCAGTGTCAGCATACAGTGTATGGAATTTAAACCGACAAATATTAGAATACGGTTAACTATGCATGAAATAGAAGCGAATAAACGATTCAGGTGTTTTTTTTTAATGTAAGACGAAGAAAGAAAATGCTACTCATTCTTCCTTTTCTACTACTTTGTATGAGAAACATGCATCTGTTCGGTTAACTGGAAACAGACAACCGATAATCGTTCTACGAGACATGGGTTTCGTGTCTCTTAGCACTTCCTAGTAAGGCATATTTATAATTCCGAGAGTACTGATGCACCCCCCCCCCCCCACTATAACCGAGCGCTAGAGCTGCAGACGTTACCACTGAGCTATGCATATCGGGATTATCAACTTACAGGACTGAATTCTATGTAATTAAAACGTCCTGAAATAAAGTGCATACTTTCCCAAAAATATACATTAACATCATCACAGCTAACTTATGACTAGATAACTTGATAAAATAAATTATAAGGGGATAAAAAGATTCCCCTGAATAATCTTAAAAATCACACCCAATCAAAACATTGCCAACACTTGCTTTTGTCAACAGAAAATATAGTAGCGTATTTGTGATACTGTATCCATGATTATCTAGTGCTCTATTTCTATCAACTGTACTTAGAACAATAAAAGTACCTAACACTATTTTTTCTATCTATTCAATAAATGTTTTAGATCCAGTCTATGAAATATGATATCAATGAAAAACACAATAATGGAAACAATTGAATTAGTTTTAATGACTGAACTCAACAAAAGTATAGAGAAAGGGAATAAAATTAAGTATTGAGGTCATGGAAATAGATATAGGCTAAAATGCACAATGTGAAGAAAGAATAAATCAACGACAAGTAAGTGACTACTCAATATCACAAATGAAGACACACACAATTCAATATTCAACATACTACACAAGGCTATCACTACAAGTTGATATACCTCACAGAAGAATGATAACAAGAAACAAGTTGACAGTCGAAACACAAAAACATCCTATATTATAACACAAAACAGATGAAGCTCAGTGGAAATGTCCATATCTCTAAAAACCAACATCAGGATACTAGTCATCAATTTCGAGTGACATCACCAAAAGTCATCAACCATCGACGCTTATCAATATGAAGAGATCACAGTCAGACATAATATACACCCTCCAAATATGACTCACACAATGGGAAGCTCAGTGATGCTTTTGAAGTGAAGACAGGAGTGAAACAAGGTTGTCTACTATCCCCCATGATATTCCTGATTGTGGTCCACTGGATCATGCAGCAAACAGTGAGGAGCGAGAAGAGGGGGATACACTGGACGACGGAAAAGAACCTAGAAGATCTGGATTTCGCCGATGAATTGTGTCTCGTGTCACACAAACTTGGTGATGTACAGGCGAAAACTAACAAGTTGGCAGAAGAGGCGAGGCAGCGAAGACGGGACTTCAAGTGAATATTGAGAAGACAGAGGTGATGAAGATACCTCACCACCAACAACAAAAACAAACTCTAGTCACCATCAACGGGAGAAACTTAGAGGAAGTAACCTCCTTCATCTATCTAGGAAGCACTGTTTCAACTACAGGCGGCACTGTTGAGCATGTCAAAGTCAGAATCGTAAAAGCAAGACAGGCGTTCATTAGCCTGAAACCAGTGTGGAGATCTCCTGCACTCAGCATGTAGAACAACATCCGGATTTTCAACACCAATCCAGTCAAGTCAATACTTCTGTATGGTTCGGAGACTTGGCGCGTTACGAAAGGGATTTCCAACAAACTACACACATTCATCAACAACTGCTTACGCTGGCTCGCTACTGAAGATCACATGGCCAGAATAATGAGAATAAGCAACAAGGAGCTCTGGAAACGAACCAACCAAGAACCTATCACCCAACAAATATGCACTGGAAGGAAGTTGAGATGGATTGGGCATACAATGAGAAGGCTGACTGGGGCATCACGCGCCAGGCCAGGCCCTCGAGTGGAATCCCCATGGGAAGCGACGAGTTGGATGTCCGAGGTGAGGGTGACATGGAGGAGATCATGCAAGGAGGAAATGAGAGCTTGTGGGCTGTCGTGGAGCCAGGTTGAAAAGATTTCAGAGAACAGAGTTCACTGGAGACGTGCTAGTGAAGCCCTATGTTCCATTAGGAACCCAAGGGACTAATAATAATAAAATATGACTCACAAAAACATCATCAACTACTACCACATATTCATATTGATATCACCTTCAACTTTCATCTATGTCGCATAACGACCCAAGTGACAAGTCGGTATGTGCAACACATAACTTAGTCATCTCATTCAATGAACATTCACAACCTCCTTTGCTCACTTGCCTTTTCACTCAATACTTTACACCTGGCGCCAAAACTCCAACAGCTGATTTCACTATAAACAATTAACGAAACAAAGCTATTTATCATCAGAAACCTATCTCCTTCTTTTGATTTCTATTTTGATCAACCAAACTTCAGTCATGCAACTAGAGAAGGAGTACTGCCGAACTGCAAACTCATCGTATGACAGATAATTATCTACTCTGCTAGAAAACAAGTTGAGCAATTTTAATTAATCAAAGGTAACTGAGTTTTAACCATCATTTGGTCGTAGCTTTCCGTCTCTCTTATGTTTTATTGTTAAGTGATAGTGGTTAATCCCACATCACTTTTATTGTCATGACAAGTATAATGAGGGGCCATGAAATTAGTGCTGAAAAAATACAGTAGGCTGAATTATGGTCGAAAGTGAAACGAAAACATGATTTGCGGCAGGATTCGAACTAGTGACTACCAAGTTACCGAACTAGGAGTCTATCGACTGAGGGGCACAGAGTCAAGCTGTTTCTAGTAAAATGTAGTTACATTGAATGGTCACTGGGGGGGGGTGACCAACTTCATATTGTCTAATCCTAAATGCTGATCGAATTCTATCAATCATTTTGCAATGAGGCCGCCAGACTAGGTAGCTCAGCATTGCGATGGACTTTGATAGATGTCAGTTGGCTCAGTGGTAAACGTCTCTGACTACAACATTGGGGGACGCGGGCTCGAATCTCAGGCGGGACATCAGTTCCATCGGGATTGTAGATACATCTTGTTGACGAGTGCCAACAAGCGCGAAACTTAGGTTCATTGCTTTCTGCCGATTGCCTCCATTCAACTAACAAAATAAAGTAAAGTATTTATTCATTTTCGTAGAAAAAGTATTCTTTAGGGGGTAGCATATTCTTATTAAAACAGCTTATTAGCCGAACTGTTTTGATTGTCCTGTGGTGTATTCTCAAAGGAGTCAATCAAATTAATTTTGCTAGGAAAAGATGTCAACAACTTGAGAAACACTATTCGAATGCCAATAGAACTTGATAAGTCAGTAATAAGAAATTGATAGGAAGTAGCTAAATATTGTAATCAACGTTCAAAGTCATCAACCGTTGGGGGGTAGAAGTGTTTTCATTTCAGATTTTGATTTATGTCTATATATGGACAAAATGGCTTCATCGGACGATTCGATAGCCAATAGGATTGCGTCATTTTGTCTTTGACACAAAACCTTTTTATGTGTGTGAAGATTGTGTATATATGCGCTATAGTTTATCAAATAAAGTCGTTGGCATCCTTTCAATGACAGCTCAGCCTTTGTCTTTTGATATTTACGTGACTCAGTGAAGAATAAAGTGCTGAGGGAGGAACAGTCATATTAGGATTCGGTTCTAGCTTACCATTGAGTTCATTATGGGTATTACCCACCCCTATTTTACTAGGTCACTTCAGAAATATAACGGATTAGCAGTAAGAATGAATAGTGAGAAATTTTTAACATCTCAAAAACGACATGCTGGTGGATTACATCACCAACGAGGAATATCTCATTAACGATAGAATGGGGTTCCTGAAACAGTTGATCTGACCCACTGTTTACAACATTTTAATGATAAAAAAATGAAGGGAAAAAGCTAATTTATGATTTACAATACCTGTAGAATTGAACAGAGAGTTTGTGGAAACGATTGTGCCAGAATTGTGACCACTTGTTGTAAGGTTGATAAGGCTATTGGGTTCAGTCTTTTGGGAAAGTGAATTCTGCGATCCTGTACTGTTTACCGAATTAAGTGTAGAAGATGCAGCCATAGTACCAAATGTATTGATGTTCGTAAATGGTCCAGGTTTAGATGTAGCAGTAACAGCGAAAAGAATACGATTTGTAGGTGTTGATACGGTCATAGCTTGAGCATAAAAAGATAAAGATAATGATGAACAAACATTCACACAGTCAACAAATCATCATACTTATGTACAATTGCATCAAATCTACTACATAATTTACCTGATGAAGTAGTTGTCAGAGTGGACAAAGACTGAATAAACGGCTTTGTGGTAGTTGAAAGAAATTGTTGTGTTGAAGTATTTGCATCACACGCTTTTACATTTGTTACTGGCGATGTATTAATGAATGATGTGGACGTTGTAGACGGATAGCTAATATTCTGATTTTTTGTCAATCCCATAGATAAACTTGGCTTACTGAGAAGAGAAGAAGTTGGAGTTTTAGATAAAGGAGTTGTAGGTGTTAACGGCACAGCAGTAGATTTCTTAGCTTCAGTTTCAGCTTTTGTTATCGTACTAAGAGGTGTTTTCGGTGAAGTAGAGACGACAGTGTTGGAAGCAACTAAAATTAAGTTTACAATTCCTAGGTTAGAAGTTTGTCAGCGAGAAATATACACAATAACTTATTCTAACAACAGTTAAAACAAATTTAAACGTTTTTGCAGTTTATGCAACGCACAAACTCGGTGTAAAGCCTATGCTGTAAGAAATACACCAAATAGAATACACATTATGAAGGTGAAAATGGTGAAGCAGAGAGTAGCTATTGTTCGAGACAACGTCTAGCATATAATTCTGCATCTACAAAAAAACAGATTGAAAACCGATTCATTCTATGTACAATGATTTCAAAAGAAAGCAATAATTCTTTCTACTGATGAGCGAAGTTAAGTCATGACGTTTCACTATTAGTTCATGTTCATATAGAAGGGCGCGAAGAGGGCAACAACTCTGCCCGATCTATTGCTTTTTGCAGTCTCTGCAGTTTATTATTATCTACAAAATAAACCGCGGAGACCGCGAACAAGGGTCGTCGGCTTCGCACCAGTTTATGTGAACATAAACTAGCAGTGAAGCGTCACGACTTGTCTTTGTACATACGGACAACTGTGGGAATGTGGAAACCTCGGATAGAGGAAATAAAAAGAATGCCAGAGAATTTTTGGAGGCTTGGTATTCAGGGCAGTCAGCAATCAATAAACATATTGACATTGACCCAATCTATCAACCAATAGGAAACAACAAGAAGGTCAAATTTCAGGTCATCAAGACAATCAATCAAAATAAACATGGAGACAACGATAGGACTTTGGCAGAAACAACCAATCATACACAAAGCCATCGGGACAAGCTACTACATAAATTGCGGCGAAAACTTTATGACTCACTTCTTTCTGAAGTTTATGCTGATGTTGTTTAGAATGACAACGAAAGCTCTACAACTAAACAATCCAGCCCAGAGTATGCAACACCATCAAAATTATCCCCTTAAGCTACAAATACTCTCTATCATCTCAAGAGTTGATAGTCTTCAAAATCCTACACAGTACAGCATAGTTGTTCTTCAATAACCCGAAAAGAAAATTATGGAGGAACGATCAAGGAGAACAGACGAAATGTAGAAATTATAAAAAAAAGAGGTTGAATCATGTAAAAAAACAACTTGCACCTTTCCTTTGATGCCAAGGTAAGAAGGAGATCTTTATGAGATTAGTATGATAAACAAGCATCAAGTTAAGAAGAGGAACGGAAACCAACATGAATTACACTTGAAACATTCTCTTATGAAGAGCAGTCCGGAATTAGAAACCAATGGTCTGATATCTTGGAAGATAAAGCATAAAACCAGTTAGAAAAGACCATTGTTATTCAATGTTAGGTAAGATATTAATCAGTTGATAACCATCTGATGAAAAGGTAGTCAGCGTGTACACCACTAAGCCATCAGCATACTTAACAAAACTGATAGCAGTTGAAGAGGGTAAGTCATACAAAAAGAAGGGGGGAAGAACAGAACCTTGGAGGAAAACGTTTTTATTTTATTATTATTGTTACTGTTTAGCAATAGATGACATAATCATCATCAAAGTGCATTGATGCCATGTTTGAATATGGCCGTCCGGAGTCTTTTTTCAGTTTGAACATACTTCGGCCAACACTGTGCGACGAACCAGAGAGTGGATAGGCATACGTAACACATGTCTCAGCCATCTCAGTCGATGAAGGTTCACAACCGCATCAACTTTCTTACCCCTTCTCCCTAAAACTCTACGTCTGACGTCTTCGTTACTCACATGGTGACACCACGACACACGGCCTATGCTAAGAAGGAAACGGTGGTCAAATACTTGAAGCCATCTCATGTCTACTATCTTAAATAGCCGTGTTTCACAGATATTGTTATGCCACACTCTTGTATAAAACATCGTTATTGAACTGAACATTTTAACGTGTCACTCCCATGCCATTTTTTACGGTATGACTAGTAGTCTATTTTCTCTCCCCCCCCCCATTGCAACGTAAATCGCTGATTGATTAATCTTTACTCTTACCATGCAAATGTCTCAAATAGGAGACAAGGCCATTTTTCATGTGTGTACATATTCACGTGTTTTGGGATTGATTTATTATTATATTCTTGGGGTAATAAATACCCATCATCCAGCTTCGGTCTTCTCTCTATTCGTCCCAGGGTCATAGTCAGTGGCTCTTGTGTACTAAGTTAGCTATCAGCTAAGCGTGTGTATTATAATCATTCGGCGTATATATAACCGTTGGCGTACGAAAATATGACGATAGAGAGGACTGCAACCCGATACACTTAACCATTAATAGACAACCAGGCATCGTGGCGGTGCCACAGATATGGCGTAAGTTGGCAAAAGCCAACCGAGCCTTTTGTATCCGTGCAGAGACTTCGTCGGCCGGTGACCAATGCACCAGGGCTGATGCGACTTCCAAGGTAAGTAAAGTGTTCAACGCTCTCAACCAGTTTACTCTTTAGTATTAGCCGGAGTACCATTCCAGATCAGTCCTGGCGCAACAATTTTCACTTAGGTGGCAAAAAACGCATCCCAAACATTCCCAGATTGCCACTCAAGGTGTCCAGTAGACTCTACATCTCGTCAGCATCTTCACCTAGCAGGAGTATATCACCTGTATATTCTAGGTCTACTAAAAATTCCCCTGTAATTAGTTCAATCCCTGTGTAGTTAGATGACGAAAGGGAGACCTCCATAGATGACACATGGAAACTACGGCACGATCACTAATGATTTCAATTTTGAGTTATATCTGATACTTCTTGAAGCAGTTGTGACCATGACCTTTTAGATCTAGTCAGGGAATCTACGACAAGGTTGAAAGCTATGTTTGTACGAACGACGTACACTTGCAGCATCTTGTTACATAATATGCTAAGAAGCACTGGAGTGACCGGTGACTTGGCTTTCTGGTTAAAAAGGGTATACTTCAGTGAGAGTTGAGGAGTACAGATTCAATACATGTAAGCCGGTCCTATGGGAGGTCAATCGCGGCCCGAATAGCTCAGTGGTAAAGTAGCTGACTACAACACTGGGTGACGCGGGTTCGAATCGGAGGCGGGACATCATTTCCGTCGAGGCTGCAGATATCCCTTACTGACGAGTGCCAAAAGAGCGAAACCTAGGCCCAGGGCTTCCTGCCGATTGCCTCCAACCAGCTAAGACCTACTAATTTGTACCGCGATGCTGAGCTTCCTAGCTTGGTTGCCATATCACAAATATGATCGATAGGATTCGGTCTGCACTCAGGACTAGACAACATGAAATTGGTTGCAGTCCCGTGACCAATCAATACAAGTATAGATTCCCGTTCAGCAAGCACCTTTTGTATTTCATTTGATTCTATGTGAATTCTGTAAATACGCAAAATACTAAGCAGAGCCGTTTTTAAGAAAAAAGATGAATAACATGAAAGGGAATAGTTACCTGTTTGAAAATATAAGCACTAGTCGGAAACAAAGATCTCCAGTTAACCAGTGTTAAATAGCTTTACACAAAATACCATCTTTTGTCAAAATGTCAAAAATAAAGTTTTTCCGTGAATATGGATTGTTGACGAATAAATCACCCTACTCGATTGCGAATACACTTTAACTAATGCACTATAGGGTGGAAGTTAGGACAACTTTCCTTTGCCATTTTCAGCAGGAAACTAATTCGTCTAAAACCTGGACTGAGACCCAAAGGATCTTGCATAGGTTTCTGTATAAGGCTATGAACCATGACCCATATGTGAGGGCTTCTGATATCATACAAGCATGGGAAATAAGAAGTCAATCGACAGAAATTCTTGAACTTCAGTGTGTGTGAATGAGTGTGTGAATGAGTGTGTGAATGAGTGAGTGAGTGAGTGAGTGAGTGAGTGAATGAGTGTGTGAATGAGTGAGTGAATGAGTGAGTGAGTGAGTGAGTGAGTGAGTGAGTGAGTGAGTGAGTGAGTGAGTGAGTGAGTGAGTGAGTGAGTGAGTGAGTGAGTGAGTGAGTGAGTGAGTGAGTGAGTGAGTGAGTGAGTGAGTGAGTGAGTGATAGAAAGAAAAATAATTTGACCTGGAAGAATAAATCACTAAAGTATGAGACGTATGAATTGACGAATAACTCACGTTCTCCTGATACAACAAGCAATTGTTCTAAACGAGAGTTCTTTATACTTGGTGCTGAAAAAAATATGAGAAAGTAAAATAAATTATCTGGAAGTTACTAAGCTTTTTTCAAAATTCATCCTTGATTTTTATTGGTCTATAGAGGGATTCACCAGGGCATAATAAACGTCCTTAATCAGCGTAGAGACGAAAGTAAGATAAGTGATATCCCAGCCAGCCAGGTAGGCAGGCAGCAGGCAAGCAGACAGCAACTTATAGCTCAGGTGTTAGATACAGATTTTTTTTAAAAATAAGAAGTAACTGTTTTGTTTCACGATGAGAACCATTGACTGTAAAGATTTACATCAAGATGAAGTTAAAAAGAGTAGTAGTAGTTGGCAAAAATGAATAATGATTCACCCGTGTACAGTAAGAGAAAAGACAGATGGAATCAAGCCAATCAGACTGATCTTGTAACAAATATTCAAAAGTGTAGATAACTCAACAGTCAAGATACTTTCATTTACTAACATGGCTCACATCAAAAGCCAGAAACTTCATGAACTAACGCTACATCATGGTTTTAATCATCAAAATCGAATCAAAAAAAGCCACTCAGCAACCTTATGAACATTCATGCAGTAGGTAATGAGTCACACTTGTGTGATGGCTAGTGATACTACTTGGCTGCATAAACCTCAGTAGGTTGGGTGGTGCTCGAACCAAGCGAACCACTGGTTGAAATTCATATCACTAAACCAATAAAGACAGAGCTCCACATACAGCTAAGATTATTCCGTTCTATTTGACATACAGCTATGGAATAAATGGAGTGCGTAAAAACATATGACCTGATATCACTGACTAACGGTTTAGGTTGGAATACAAAACCAGATCAGGGTAGAAGACTTCAAGATAAGACAAAGAAAGAAATCGAGTAGGTAGAAATTCGTAAACAGAGGGGAAGGGATGAAACAGTGATGAAAATAATGTTTGAGTGCATCTGCTTCAGTGAGATCAATTCCGAGACGAATCGCTTAGCCTCTAATCACTACTTTCAGTTGACACGCAGAATCTCAATCAGGATTTCTAAATTCCCCAACACGACTCAGACTAACAGTCAGGTGCTTTAGGACTGATGTAATATTTTAGTTCGTACATCTCCAAATTTTTTCAGCTTAATCTTACCTTAGCTCCACGGGAGAGATGATGACAAAACAGACATAATATTTCCTAGTCATATGAGTCGATGGAGGTTTACAACCTCAGTAACAGGCTTACATACAACTAAAACAATAAGCCTGACTGCTACGTTTCTGATGTAGTAGATTCACAACACATGGCGTATGACTAGGAAGCCAACTATAGTTGAACAGTTGATGTCATCTCACATTTTTTTACGTTCAATCACCATGTTTCACAGCCGTAGAGTAAAATACAGCAAACTGCAGCACAGTACAAGCGATCCCGAATACGCAATCAGATATCACGACGGCAACAGAGATGGCGTAGGTTACGGAAGGTCTTGTGAGGGTTTTGTGAGCATAAAGAGATTTCGTCAGTCACTGACCCATCACCGTTGATTCAACTTCCCGCATATAAGTGAACTGATCAACGCAATCCAAAATTTCACTCCGGTTTTAGACAACATATCACTGAAGACCACTCCCCGATTAATCATTTGAAATTACGTGTCGCAAAACCACATTCTAAATATCCTCAAACGGCCACTCAAACTGTCTTAGAGACTCTGCACCTTGCCAGTATACTAAACTAACAAGACAAGCGTGAATATGCCCCATCCGCTTACTGAAGAATAGCCTGTGATATAATAAAGCCCTACAAAGTAAGACGAAAAGAGAGCGACACTCATCAGTATGTCTATGACCAAAACATAATCGACAGTGTCACATGAAACCATCATGTGTGGAAATGTAGCTCATGTTAGACGCCAGTAAGTGTGGTTGAGTTCAAGAATCCGACGTAGTGTCAATATCTGTTCAACACATCCACGACGAAGTTTGAAACCTACCTCCTTTCAGCAGATTTGTATTTCCTAAACTCCACTTAGACGCCGAATGATTATTATTATTGTCATTATTTGTCGTTTGAGCTCCTAGTGTAACATAGAGCTTCAGTAGCACATCACCATTTCACTCTCTTCTCTGAAGTCTTCCTAACCTGGCTCCACCACTGTCCAGAAGCTTTCGTTTCTTCCTCACACCACCTCCTCCATGTCACCCTCAGTTCAGAAGCCCAACTCGTCGTTTCCCCTACCTCTCCCTGTGGGTTTGACTCGAAGACTTGAACTGGCCTGACATAACCTGACCTGACCTGACCTGACGCGTGATGTCTCCAAATGGTCTTCTCAGTGTATATCCAGTTTAATCCATCTCCACTTTCTTCTGGTGCATATTTGTTGGTCGATGGGTTCTTGCTTTGTTGGTTCGTTGTCAACCAGCCAGCCAGCCAGCCAGAGTTCCTTGTTGTTTATTCCTATTATTTTGGCCATCCGATCTTTAGTATCAGTATCGAGTTGAGTGAGCGTAGGCGGCAGGTGTTGATGGTGTATATCTGTATCTGTAGTTTGTTGGAAATGCTTTTGATAAGGCGCCAAGTCTCTCAACCATCACATAGAAGCACTGACTCACTTGACTGACTTAGTGTTGAGAATCCGGATGTTGTTGAGGCTTTATGCTGAATGGAGTGGAGTGGAGTGCAGTCGATCTCCACACTGATTTCAGATTGATGCAGGAAGGTTTGTGTTGCTGTCTTTCCGATGGTGGCTTTGACATCCTCATGTGTGCCACCGCCACCGCCTCCACCTCCGCCTCCGCCACCTGTAGCTGAAAGGATGCTGTCTAGGTGGCTAGATGAAAGAGACAACTTTTATTCAGATTTCTCCCATTGATGGTGATTGATGCTTGTTGTCGTCGTGGTTGTCAGTCGGTCGGCTATCTTCATCACCTCTGTCTTCTCTATGTTCACTTGAAGGAAGTTCCGCCTTCTCTGCCTCGCTCGCCTCGCCTCGCCTCTCCTCTCCTCACCTCACCTCACCTCACCTCTTCTGCCAAATTGTTAGTTTTCGCTTGTAGATCTTCGAGCTTGAGGGATATTGGACATAAATCATCATCGACAAAATCCAAATCTTCTATTATCTTTTCATCGGTCAACAAAGAGTATGCCCATCTTCTCACAGCTCATCACAGTTGTCTATTGCATGATCCAGTCCAGTCCAGTCCAGTCAAGTCAAGTCCAGTCGACCACAATCAGGAAGATCATCAGTAATAGTAGGTTGCAACCTTGTCTTGCTCCTTCCGGTCTTCACTTCACTTCAAAGGTGTCACTGAGCTGAGCTGAGCTGAGCTTTCCATTGTCAGTCACTTGGCACGTAGCCTCATCGTATAGTATAGCATATAACTGCTGTTCAATGAGGTCGATAAAAGTTTGTGGCAGTGAAACCGTAGTGTTGAAGCAGCTGCCTGTCAAATTGCTTCTCGGTCGATGCTGCCCGAAGGCGTTTTCAAAATCGATGAAGTTGAGGTAAGGAGGTGACTGTCATTCTATGCTCTGTTCTATGATGATGCGTAGCGTTGCAATTTGATGGGCACATGATTTATTTTTCCTGAAACCAGCCAGCCTGTTCTGGTCGTAATTTTGAATACGGAGCATGTTTTGGTCTCTTCAGGATGATGCTGCTTAATATTTTGCTTGGAGTGGACAGGAGGATGATTCCGCGCCAGTTTTTGCAAAGACTTAGGTTACCCTTCTTTGGGAGTTCGACAAGATAGCCCTTCTTCCTGTCTAATGATGATAAAACCTAGAATCTGAGACACCATGTCTATCAAACGGATTCCCATGTGGTTATCATATGAAAATTTCGCTCCTTTCTTAAAGATTGGAACAATTGCTGTGCGTGATCAGTCATAAAAGATCATATCTGATTCCTATACGCTAGCTAACACTCCAGTTAACCTGAACAATATTCTTTGACCCTGTTAACCCATTCGGCCATGCTATCTCTTTCTTGTTTTAGGTTACTTACAGCTTGACAGACTTCTTCAAGTGTTGGATGTCCTATCTTCATATTTCATTCAGGACCCAACTCCATAATGAGAATAGCAGCTGGAGGACAATGGAACTGTTTTTCTAAATGTTCCGCCAGTCATCCCATTAACCGGTCCCACACCCCTGCAAGTGAATTCCAAACTCATCTTTCTCCACTGAAGCATAACTAAACATTGACTCTTTTTCTCAAGTTTCTTAGATTAGTCTAAACAGCTGTCTACAATATGAAGAACAGTGAAATGATTAGTTATGAAAACCTTTAAGATAGAGAGTGAAGAAAAGGAGAGGAATAAAAGCATAGAACAGGATAAAGTGAACAGAGAGGGTAAACATACACCTGAGTAACTGAGATCAATTTTGAGTTGAACAAATAAAATCTTGCCCCTAGAATAAGTATATCATAATCCATGTTTAAAATATACCAATTTTCTAGAGAAGAGAATAAAACTTACACAAGGTTGTTGCATTTCGGTGAACATCTGAACTTGGCTGCATATCAGAAAATGAGTCACCACCTTTAGAATCAGTAAACTTTGAACTTTCTACCTCTGTAGAGATAGATGGGCAAACTTTAGACGGATGAATGATGGGTAATTTATAATTGGAAAATAATCGGAATAAAGCTTGATCACGTTCATTTATCATATTCCGTAGTGGATTGACATTATCTTCTTTAGAAAATGATACATTTGAACGATTTAAACTTGTTCGTACAGTCTGTTGTTTAGCGTTTTTTAAATCATTTTTAGATTCACATTTCATTGGACTTAGTCCTAATCGTTTCAAATTCTCAACAATATAATCAATTCGACCACGTTCAGCACGAATAAGATTAGCATTTGTATCCAAAGCGCGTATAATAGGAGAATTATTGCCAACACTACAAAAAGTAAACATAAAACAGTGTAGTGTTAAGATCCGTATAAGTACACAAAATTGTACGTCTACCATACAATTTCTATTATCTACTAAAAGGTCGAAGAATAATCATCTACCTAGTCATGAATACTCTTCTTTCGTCGAATAACAGTCAAAAAAACTAAAGAATTAAAAAACAAAGTACGATGAAACCAATTGTGTAGGTTCAAAGAACTCAGAGTATCGCCATCGACGGGAGAAATCTGAATAAAAGTTGTCTTCTTCATCTAGCCACCTAAACAGCATCCTTTCAGCTACAGGTGGCGGAGGCGGAGGTGGAGGCGGTGGCGGTGGCACACATGAGGATGTCAAAGCCACCATCGGAAAGACAGCAACACAAACCTTCCTGCATCAATCTGAAATCAGTGTGGAGATCGACTGCACTCCACTCCACTCCATTCAGCATAAAGCCTCAACAACATCCGGATTCTCAACACTAAGTCAGTCAAGTGAGTCAGTGCTTCTATGTGATGGTTGAGAGACTTGGCGCCTTATCAAAAGCATTTCCAACAAACTACAGATACAGATATACACCATCAACACCTGCCGCCTACGCTCACTCAACTCGATACTGATACTAAAGATCACATGGCCAGAATAATAGGAATAAACAACAAGGAACTCTGGCTGGCTGGCTGGCTGGCTGGCTGGCTGGCTGGCTGGCTGGCTGGCTGGCTGGCTGGCTGGCTGGCTGGCTGGCTGGCTGGCTGGCTGGCTGGCTGGCTGGCTGGCTGGCTGGCTGGCTGGCTGGCTGGCTGGCTGGCTGGCTGGCTGGCTGGCTGGTTGACAACGAACCAACAAAGCAAGAACCCATCGACCAACAAATATGCACCAGAAGAAAGTGGAGATGGATTAAACTGGATATACACTGAGAAGACCATTTGGAGACATCACGCGTCAGGTCAGGTCAGGTCAGGTCATGTCAGACCAGTTCAAGTCTTCGAGTCAAACCCACAGGGAGAGGGAGGGGAAACGACGAGTTGGGCTTCTGAACTGAAGGTGACATGGAGGAGATGGTGTGAGGAAGAAACGAAAGCTTCTGGACAGTGGTGGAGCCAGGTTAGGAAGACTTCAGAGAAGAGAGTGAAATGGTGATGTGCTACTGAAGCTCTATGTTGCACTAGGAACCCAAGGGAAAAATAATAAAATTTAAAAAAAGAACTCAGAGCACTATGAATGGCTCACGATTTCGCCTCACTCTTAAATAAACCTTAGTTTGAGAAAGAAACTCAATCATCAGTCTGTTCATTTAGAAGGTAACCAGACTAAACATTTAATGATAAAAAGAAATTTACTAACAATTACCCATTCCTTGTACTATACTTTTCTTTTCCTCGACTATTAGGTGTAGTACTACTCTTAGACTGGAGAGAATCCAATTCTGAGGATAATCTTTGAATTTGATCTTCTAAATCAAACAATCCAGCTTCGGCTAAACGTGCACGTCTTTTTAACTGACTAAATAACCGATTAGTTTCTGGATCCAAATGACTTGATATCGCTGAAAACCAATCACCACTAGCATACAAACGTAAAGCTCGACGTAAACGTTCACCGAAGATAACAGAATTTGATAAATCTTCTTTACGTTCATTTAGTGCAGTTGTTAATTCAGTAATTACCTGAAGAAGAAAGTGAGTTTTAAAAAAATAAGTTTAGCAGTCTTTGGAACTTAGACGTTTCGTGCCTACTTTCACTCATCAGTTGAGCAAACGTGTAAGCTTCGTTTCTTTAATGATTTTTAGTCTTTGATAGGCGTATACGTGTTAATTCTATTCTAAACCATTTTCAGCAGCACTCATCCATCAATTCATTTTATATACGTAAATGAAATCAATGACTGAATATATTTTCTTGACGTACTAATGACAAGAAACAAAGATGGCTTTATGCTGAGAAGCATATATAAAAAAACTAATGTCTAAGGCATAGTATACGCACTTTCTCAGCATCGTACAGATGAAATTATAAGCATTATAATCAGATGCCTGGCTTTTAGAGTCGAATCGATTTGTTACGGGGAGTGTGTGGAGGAAGAACTACTGTGTATTCGTGATATTCTAAGTGAAAACGGATATTCAGACTAGTTTTATCAAAACTAACATCAATTACACTGGTCCTAAACGCGAACTGATGACAAAGGAGAAGAAGCCATTGTTTCTGTGCTTACAATTCAAGGGAGATGCTGCAAGTGACATTCTATCACAACGCCTAGCTAAAGCAGTCAATAGGACGTTTTATGCAGGTCGACTTCGCATATCATTCAGTAGTCGACCAATGCTCAATCTGAGACTAAAGGATAGCCCACCTAATCTTAGCTCTTCATCTTTGACACATCAGTTTAACTGTTCCTGGGGAACTAGTAATATAGGGCGTACGATTAGGTAGGTGCATCTCAGGATACGAGAGCATTTACCAGCTTGGTTCGGAAAGGGGAAAGTAGTGAAAAGTTCATTCCTAGTGCATCTAGTCAATACAGGGTATCAAAAAGATGCTGATAAAGCTTTCAACTTTATTCATCGTTTTCAACAACGACATCACGTGTAACTCGCCAACGCCTGCTCAATATAGCGAAGGCTTTCGCAATAAGATTGATCAAGCCTGAACTCTGCATTCAGAAACAGCATGTCCAAGTGATACTTCTCCGTCGGTCTTCAGCTAACTATAGGCCACGCTTGACATCCTATTCGTTATCTTTTCGTTTCATTATATCAGTGTATGTATCATCCCAATAGTTAAGAAAGACAAATAGATTTCCTTACAATTCCTAGATCTCACTTCATTTTGAAAACGTAACTGCCCATAATATGGCTTTTTTACGCTGTTTTTACGCTGCATTTTATAATTGTAGAACCTGAAGAGAATACTTATTGAAAAGAATATTATTCGCTCAAATTATTGCTTTTTATAGATATTATGGGTATCTTTGGTTGTTTGAAATCTTACGATTCATTCCGTGTTTACGACAGAAAAAGTTACCGTTACATATATAAGAACTACAACGAACCAGGACCGAAATATACAAATAAATCAGTCACATGATTGCAACCAATAATGTCGTCGAAGTAAAAGTCATGTAAAGTGACATAATTGGTGAAATCTTTTCTTAAATATACAACGTTTGAGTTACCCATTAAAAAGCTGGTAATCTGTGCATATCAGTAACTAGATGCAATCATCTTCAGTAGGCTATGAATTACACTTATAAGCCTAAAACAATGAACGCCAGCTCTGTCCTGAGACTGGCGACATTAATAACTAGGCTTTATTATCACATGAACAATCTGTATTGAGATAAGAACAATAAAAAGATTCCTTCTGTAAGGTTTAATTACTAAAGACCAATGCTGCATTTTAGCTACCGTAGTGGAAATATAACTTTTTTGCACTAGTGTCAGGACCTGAAATGTTCTAGGAATTCTAGGCATCATTAACTCAAAAACATTAACTCTTGAAAAATAGGGCTCACTGACATCGAAGTAATAGGCTAAAAACATGAATTCTGCTTAATCCACATTGGTCTGAACAGGAGAACAGTACCATAAGCTCTCATATAGGGTCTGTGATTAATATCTTAGGACAAAATCTGCAACACGTAGATGAATTAAAGCTACGGCCTTATATGTCCTCCTAAGAGTGAGGAGATAAAGCATTCCATAGAAGAAAAGAACTAGTACGACAAACTGAAGTAATTATTTTGCTTATTTTCAAAAACGTTTACGCAGTTCTTGTATATGAGCAGTTGCGTGAGTTCGACAGCATCGACCGAGAAGCAATTTGACAGGCAGCTGCTTCAACACTACGGTTTCACTGCCACAAACTTTTATCGACCTCATTGAACAGCAGTTATATGCTATACTATACGATGAGGCTACGTGCCAAGTGACTGACAATGGAAAGCTCAGCTCAGCTCAGCTCAGTGACACCTTTGAAGTGAAGTGAAGACCGGAAGGAGCAAGACAAGGTTGCAACCTACTATTACTGATGATCTTCCTGATTGTGGTCGACTGGACTTAACTGGACTGAACTTGACCGGACTGGACTGGACTGGACTGGACTGGACTGGACTGGACTGGATCATGCAATAGACAACTGTGATGAGCTGTGAGAAGATGGGCATACTCTGTGTTGACCGATGAAAAGACAATAGAAGATTTGGATTTTGTCGATGATGATTTATGTCCAATATCCCTCAAGCTCGAAGATCTACAAGCGAAAACTAACAATTTGGCAGAAGAGGTGAGGTGAGGTGAGGAGAGGAGAGGCGAGGCGAGCGAGGCAGAGAAGGCGGAACTTCCTTCAAGTGAACATAGAGAAGACAGAGGTGATGAAGATAGCCGACCGACTGACAACCACGACGACAACAAGCATCAATCACCATCAATGGGAGAAATCTGAATAAAAGTTGTCTCTTTCATCTAGCCACCTAGACAGCATCCTTTCAGCTACAGGTGGCGGAGGCGGAGGTGGAGGCGGTGGCGGTGGCACACATGAGGACGTCAAGGCCACCATCGGAAAGACAGCAACACAAACCTTCCTGCATCAATCTGAAATCAGTGTGGAGATCGACTGCACTCCACTCCACTCCATTCAGCATAAAGCCTCAACAACATCCGGATTCTCAACACTAAGTCAGTCAAGTGAGTCAGTGCTTCTATGTGATGGTTGAGAGACTTGGCGCCTTATCAAAAGCATTTCCAACAAACTACAGATACAGATATACACCATCAACACCTGCCGCCTACGCTCACTCAACTCGATACTGATACTAAAGATCACATGGCCAGAATAATAGGAATAAACAACAAGGAACTCTGGCTGGCTGGCTGGCTGGCTGGCTGGCTGGCTGGCTGGCTGGCTGGCTGGCTGGCTGGCTGGCTGGCTGGCTGGCTGGCTGGCTGGCTGGCTGGCTGGCTGGCTGGCTGGCTGGCTGGCTGGCTGGCTGGCTGGCTGGCTGGCTGGCTGGCTGGCTGGCTGGCTGGCTGGCTGGTTGACAACGAACCAACAAAACAAGAACCCATCGACCAACAAATATGCACCAGAAGAAAGTGGAGATGGATTAAACTGGATATACACTGAGAAGACCATTTGGAGACATCACGCGTCAGGTCAGGTCAGGTCAGGTCATGTCAGACCAGTTCAAGTCTTCGAGTCAAACCCACAGGGAGAGGGAGGGGAAACGACGAGTTGGGCTTCTGAACTGAGGGTGACATGGAGGAGGTGGTGTGAGGAAGAAACGAAAGCTTCTGGACAGTGGTGGAGCCAGGTTAGGAAGACTTCAGAGAAGAGAGTGAAATGGTGATGTGCTACTGAAGCTCTATGTTACACTAGGAGCTCAAACGACAAATAATGACAATAATAATAATCATTCGGCGTCTAAGTGGAGTTTAGGAAATACAAATCTGCTGAAAGGAGGTAGGTTTCAAACTTCGTCGTGGATGTGTTGAACAGATATTGACACTACGTCGGATTCTTGAACTCAACCACACTTACTGGCGTCTAACATGAGCTACATTTCCACACATGATGGTTTCATGTGACACTGTCGATTATGTTTTGGTCATAGACATACTGATGAGTGTCGCTCTCTTTTCGTCTTACTTTGTAGGGATTTATTTTGTCACAGGAAATTCCTCAGTATTCATAAAACAGATTTTCGCTTTTGTTGTAATTTTTTATCTCAGTTCACACTATGTAAATCGCATAACATTTTAGTGTAAGATTGTTGTGTGTGACATATTCAATACTAATTTTGAGCATCTGAGATATCCATGATTTGGCAGACTAGTTAGTATTGATACTGGATACTGATTAAAGGTAAAATAAAAATTTGGACCGCGGTCGGATTCCAATCACCCATCACACACACACACACACACACACACACACACACACACACACACACAGGTTTCCTGCCCAATGCTCTACCAACTGACCTACCAGGTCCGACTCCGGATCACATTTTTATTTCACTCCAATCACCAAAAGTTTTGCCAGAATACCATGTGAATTCGCGACACATCACTATCTCTGGATCACACTCACACTAGCTGCCTAGTCAGGACTTTTCATTCAAATCCAAATGTAATTCAGTTAGAAAGGGGGAGCATCATATTGATCATCATTTTGACTATTTCAGATACCCATCGTTTGGCAGATTAGTCAGCGGTCGAACCTCATACTTTAGTTGGTAGAGCATTGGGCCAGAAACCCGATGGTTGCTGGTTTTTCATTTCACCTTCAATCATCATGCACCATTTCATACTGCCAATCTCGCAACACGTCCGTATTTTATGCAGATAATTATAAAACGACAAAATACTTCTAAAAGATTAACACGAGTTGGCACCTACACTTAAACTTCATGGTGGGTTAGTGTAATTAGGGTGTGTGTTATGTGAGGTGGTAGACGTGTAAACTCTAGGAAGCACCTGAAACATTTGATGTTTCAGGACGAAGCTGTTAAACAAGTATGCTTCCTTCCCCCTCCATCATATTTAACTCTAACAACAAAATCAATTAATTCTGAGGTTTATGGAGATGTTTGGACATGGTTGCTATCATCATCCTCATTCAAAAAGTGAAGTCAAGTTTTATTCAATGCTTTGAACACTTTTTTCTTATATTGTCCTACTGGTTTCAACGTTGGCTACCATCTTCTAATGCTCGAAATAAACTAAAGTGAAAATATTTTCAGTTAAAAATGTGACAAAATAAGGTTAAAAACTCCAGCCGGGGGTGAAAGTTCGTTTGGATGAACTCCTAGACTTAGCGACTTAAAACTTCACCTTGGATGTTTCGAAATCAAAAGTCAATGGCTAACCTTTTGGACTTCTGAACAGATAATAAGGTGGAATTTGAAATACAAATCATAAGGAAATAAATTCTCCTTGATTTTGTAGTCATGTAAACTGCTTCATATGTTATTACATATGATCATTCACATCGGTGTACAGTTGTTATTCCCTTTTCTATGATATATTTTTATTCAGTTAGTAAAAATTTATTGAACTTTAGACAGAAATGAAACAAATAAGTTGTAGTGGCTGGCAGTGGAATCGAGGATGCGCATTTCGTCCTATTTGGGACTCCCCAGCTGGATGTATCTACCTCCCTTTCAGGGAGTGATGTTGTTCCCACTAAGATTCGGACTCGGGAGCGATCGCTTCAAACGCCACAGCGTTATCATGGTGGGAAAAACATCAATCACTGTGAAGCAAGTGCATCCAGCTGAAGAGTCCCAAATAGAATGAAATGCGCATTCTCGATTCCACTGCTAACCACTATCCATCATTACTATCATAAGAGCACAGGTAATATCGAGGCATCCACACAGGATCTCATATGCCAATAGAGACCGATCAATTCGGTCCAATCAACGACGGTATCATATAAAAACAATCATATTCTAAAATAAGTCGTAGAAAAGAAGGTCAATTAAAGCTACTTGATATCAAATATATAGTGACGAAGTCAGAACATACCTCATCCATTGCCTTTAAGAAACGATCAACATCACACAAACGTGCTTCAATAACATCCACCCCTATAGACTCGCTAGACTTTCCATCAATATCTCCATTACTCAATACATTGAGTAAATTCTGCCAAGCAAGACGACCAGCGTTTGCTTCTGATTTCAAAGAAGATGTGAAATGAGCTGCTGCTGCTTCTACAGACTTGGGTAACGGTATATCACGTGATCTGTTAGGAGCTTCACATTTAACATTCAGATTTTCTTTCACCTCCTGTTCAATCATAGTTTGTAAACTTTCTGCACGGTTAAGGGATATATTTGTATTTGCTGTATCTTGGAATGAAATGGTCTTTTTTCATCGAATGCTTTAAATGCAGTGACTTTGTAACACAGAAGACAGATAAGAAAATAGTAAGGTATTAGTCTTAAAACAAGCATTAATATATGTGAATAAACAACTGTGAGAAAATGTGGTTTGAATCGACTGAATAGACATTCACTCAACAAATAAGCAATGAGCCACCTCAGTAGGTGGATGTGGGTTCAAACTAGTTACCGGTTGGAAGTCTAGTGTCTACACCAATGACCCACAGTCCGATTAGGCTAGCTACTTCCCTTCTGAAGAATAAGAAGTTGGTATGAACCCGGATGCTCGTTAACCGGCGGTAACAGATCTACTAGTAGGTGAAGAACTACTAAAGATCTGCCTACCCATAATATTAAACATCAGCATGTCTACCTTTTGAACCAAACTACCTCAAATGTTTAGTTAAGAAAAAAGATTATTTATCTGCGTATTACTTCATGAATTACTCTAACAGTTCACTTCAGTCACTCCGTATATTGTCTTCAAAAGGAGAAAAAAGCTAGAGATGAAAAAAATCCGACCTCTAACACTTTATACTACACTTATTGTACGGTTAGGTATACATAACAAAATAATTTACACTATTCAAACATAACCACGTCACATTTCCGCTTAGTATATGCAACACATCACTTATATACAAACAAATTCGTGTACTCGGCAATCTGAAACATGGTGACACCACTTGACAGCTATGATTCCAGTAAATGGGATAGGGGGTTGAAGCTGCAACCATTAATTGGAAGCAGAACGCGTTTATAAACAAACTAAAAATCCACAGTGGCCGTGGACTATTGAAAAATTGAAATATTTGTTAGAACAGCAACTCAAGCTTATTGAAATTTTAACTAGTAACAAAATTGCTGTTGCACTACCATCTTCTTCCCCTGCTTCCCAGTTTGGCTCCTTCTATCGACGAGTTGGTTAATAGCATTACTGATTTTCTCTATGATCTAGAGACCAATGTCATTTTTGACACTTGGTATAGATGTTTTAGAGATCTTTACAAAATTCATTTTGCTGGTCAGGATGATAGGTAGAAAGTCCATCTTTTGCTTCAGAAACTTGATCCAGCAGAACTCGATATCTACTGCAACCTCATACTACCCCAGAACCAACGCGAATGCAAATTTGACGGAACAATCAAATCGTTGAGTCAATATTTTGGCGATAATTCATTTCTCTTCAACATCCGCTTTCGATGTAAGAAGCCAACAATGAACGACCACATTGATTTCCGGACACACGTTGGAGTTGTTAATCAAGAATGTGAACAATTTCGACTGAAGACATCATCTGACGATCAATTCAAATCACTGATCCTTATATGCAGTTTTCATTCTCCGAAATTCTGTGATATTCGCACTCGGTTGCTGAGTCGCTTAGACCAAGATCCTAAATTGACTCTTAATCGAATAGCAGACGAATTCCAATGTTTGGAAACTCTTCGACATGATGCCATAATGGTTCAGTCTGATGAATCCAATTACGTCTATGTTGTCCGCCAGTCATCAAAGTATTCTTCATCTCTGAAATCTGGCCCGACCAAATCTAAATTATCAAATTATACATCTTCCCCGTGTATGTCTGATACCTCTCACGATATGCAAAAGATTTCACCTTCACCTTGTTGGCTCTATGGAGCTGGGCACTACACCAGGTCTTCTGCTGTAGCTTACACCGCTCACAACACATCTAGTCTACCTAAGAAAAATTGGTCCCGGAACTACTCCAGGCCGACTGAGAGATCCATGCGCATCACAGCCACATTTGTAGACAATGGGTTGCCAAAAAGAAAGTTCCTAACAGTATCGATCAACAACTAACCAGTCAGTTTGCAGTTAGACACTGCGTCAGATATCACCATCATTTCTGACAACCTCTAAGGTGATATTGGTTCACTGCCTCTAAAGATAGCAGCAATCCAGATCAGTACGAAAGGAAATAAGTGTGCAGTGATGTGTTTCTGTAAGCAATTTATCTATACAATAAAATGCTACCTTTATATTACTTGAGTTTAGTAGAACAAATTGTTAGGTAACCTGAAATTGTATATTGTATGCATGTATGCATACAATATAATAAACACCTTTACATGCAGCATAACATGTTACCCTAGTTTTGTTCTATTTTCTAAAAATAGAAAATGAGTAAGATAATTAGAACACAGTAGCAGATGACAGGACAATAAGTGATCAATAATGATTGAGTAAAACTTGTATGATTGATTGTTCCGATGGTGCACACAAACACACACACACACACGTTCCAGAAAAATCACCTCAAAACTAGGCGACGCAATTATCATTGACGTCAAGTGATGTACTCAACTCCAACCAATTCATACGTGTAAATTAGGTGAACCATTGAGAGAGAAAAAAAACACAGTTCTTGCATCAAACAGATAAACTAAGAGACACTATTTTGCTTTAATTACTACTATTCATAGAACATTGACGGATTGATAGAACATTGACAAAAGGATAAGCTCATCTTCACTTAATTTACTGACTAACAACACCAGTTTGCTTGCTCACATCACAGGGAATTATAAATAAAGATACCAGTGTGATTTCAAAAGTGAACCAGTAAGTTGGTAGTTTGAAACCTGTACAGCTTCTTTCGGTTATCATCATCCCCCCTCTGTTCTCTTGGTTTATCTACACTTTTGAGTACTGGTGTATGAAGTCCAACTGACAGATAATCCTTACATTAGTAATGATGGATAGTGGCTAGCAATGGGATCCAGAATGCGCATTTCGTCCTATTTGGGACTCCCCAGCTGGATGTATCTACCTCCCTTTCAGGGAGTGATGTTGTTCCCACTAAGATTCGGACTCGGGAGCGATCGCTTCAAACGCCACAGCGTTATCATGGTGGGAAAAACATCAATCACTGTGAAGCAAGTGCATCCAGCTGAAGAGTCCCAAATAGAATGAAATGCGCATTCTCGATTCCACTGCTAACCACTATCCATCATTACTATCATAAGAGCACAGGTAATATCGAGGCATCCACACAGGATCTCATATGCCAATAGAGACCGATCAATTCGGTCCAACCAACGACGGTATCATATAAAAACAATCATATATATTAATCCTTACATTATTCTCACTGTTTGTGTATTGAACCTTGACCCACTGATCGCTTAGTCACTATATATACATTCTGGGCTAATGAAAACACACTAGGACCTCTAAACGTGTAAAGTAAGGCTATCACCAATCCCAAACATTATTCCACAGGGCGTCTGATCGCTATTCCACTAGCTTAGGTTGTGTAGTCTGTTAAGTACACATTAGTAAAGTATATAACACCTCGATGTAGAGTCAGTTTTCCCCGTACGTCTACAAGTTACCACGGTGTATCCAAAAACTTGTACGAGCTTTATGTAGGAAAATCAGTTGGTAGAGCACCGGGGCAGTAAACCGGTGATCACTGGTTCGAATCCGACCGCGGTCTAGATTTTCATCTCACCTTCAATCATCACCCATTACAAAGTCATAAGAATTATTTTTATATGCATAAATTAAAGTGTACATATAGCTCGAGTGTCTCTAAGAAGATAGGAACTTCTTTCTTCCCAATTTCGTCTCGTGTGGTATATCATTCTCCGGTTTCTGTTCGTGCTTTCCTTTCTTTTTTTTTCTTTTCAGCTTAAGCTTGAAGAGAAACTTTTGAGCATAATTTTGACCGAAAATGTCAACTTACTGAATATACTACTTCGTACGTGATACCAGAAATTATTGAAAGGATTCGTCAACGGGTTTTCCCCTATTGATTTCCAACTTTCTGAAAAGTTCCACAGCAAACTCACCTAGTTACCAACATCTTAGTTGCTACCGTATGCGACAACTCTACTACAATAAATGGTCGAAGACTTCTGGACAGTCATAATGGCAGTGAAAATCTGGACAAACATCTAAATCCAAGAAATAAACTCACCTAGTGACTCAAAGTGAGATATGTTCTCAAACAAACCCACGCAACAAACTTCTCCAGTACTTTATCTCATTTGACTCCGTCTGACAGAAGACAATTAACCAGTCAACATAAATCCTTGATAATGCTGCATGCTTCAATGTGAATTCTATGTGCAAAACTCCATCACCATTGGATAATAGTCCTTCAAATGTTTATTTCTTTGTACCGCAACAAATAATTCTAATAGCTTACATATGTATTGCTGTGTAAGGTCACACTACGAGTGGGAAATGCGTAGACTTATATATTCACGTGGATTATATGGTTACGCTAGCACTTAGTGTTTTTGTTGGTCAATGATACTATAAACATGTGAATTGATGTTAAAATAAACGCTTATCTGACGATATATGGAACTATACAGCCAGGTTAAGCATCTCGGTCACATGTAACGCAAACGTCGAATATTGTGCGATTTTGGTGTTAGTTTATCGTGAAAAAAGAATCGTGAGTGAAAAAGACCACAACTCATCAACAATCTGTATGTACTTTGAAGTGATATGTTTCTGTTCTTTTCATAACCTGCAGTCACTTTTGATATTATGATATTATGGTAAACTGGCTTCTCTCGTGTTAAACTCTTAATTTGAGAATAAAATATTTTTGAGATGGATGGGGATTTTTTAATTTAGAAGTATTAATCATGGACTGACATCAGTCGGTGAACCATTGAAAATCTGGGAGTACTGGACAGCTGTTTCGTCTTAGTGTGGGACTCCTCAGCAGTACGCACCCACGACCCGGCTAGGGATAGAACTCAGGACCTTCAGGTTTCACGGCGAACGCGTTAACCATTCAGCCGTGACCTGTGGGGTCAACCAGTCGGAAGTGAAGTGGATGCTAACTGAAGACCTTAGGTGACAGTCGAGCTATGTCGTGAACTGACAGAAGTTGGAAATTGTGAACCACTGGAAACCGACCCAGTGGCTGAATGGTTAACGCGTTCGCCGTGAAACCTGAAGGTCCTGAGTTCTATCCCTAGCCGGGTCGTGGGTGCGTACTGCTGAGGAGTCCCACACTAAGACGAAACAGCTGTCCAGTACTCCCAGATTTTCAATGGTTCACCAACTGATGTCAGTCCATGATGAATACTACTTCTAAATAAAATATTTATTTATCAACTGTACACTTTTGGATTGACTAGGTCTAATTCATCAATGTAGAGATCGCTGCTGCTGAATTAGTTTATGGGTACACAGGTATCTTTTTCATAATTCTATTAATTAGAAGGTTAAAAGGGGGGAGGAATTACAAACTTGTAATCATTTCATAGATATTGATACGCGCATTTCACACAGGTTAGAATACGTCAGATTCCCTTAGATACGTTCACGCCTTATCATCATTCTCATTGTTACAAAAACAAGTGACATTCTATTCATCACTTATTCTTCTTGTGGAGTAATCTACTTTTAGTAAAAATACCAGTTTTAATATTACCTGTAGCTTATTGTTCTGTAAGTTTAGACAATATCTTTCTCGATTCGACTACAATACGATCTGATTGTGGAATACTTTTATTCTCCTATATTCTCCTTTTCAACCCTAATTTTATCACTCCAAAAAGATAGACAGAAATAATGTAGAACCTTGCACATAAGTGCGACGGCTCAAGTTGCCATACTTCACAGAAGTATACAAAGAACAAGCGGTCAGAATAAGAATGATATCAAAATGGACAAAGTAGTGTGAAGGAGTAAACAATCTGAAGATACCGGTTACTACAGATATTCAAGCTTTAGAAGACGTCAAAGAGTGGATACATCTGCGCTACCGAGACCGATTCGCAGCAATGTCACCAGGAATTGATTTCTATCATCTCAAGGACCCGAACCAGGTAGTCTACATCTCTTCACATGGCTCAAACCAACGGTTGAGGACTTCATCGACTGATACCATATCTTGGTCTCGCCACCCTGAAGCTTCTTCCAACCCAATCCAACTTCCCCAAGTATGGCACGTCTAGGTAGACGGTGACTCGGCATCCACAGCATATGTCGAGGCATTTCCAGTCGATTAAGGTTCACAACCTCATCAATTGACTTGCCCACTACTCTTCGCTTGACTTCAACATTGCTCACATGGTGATTTCACCAAATGCGAGCATTGCTACGAAGACGCCTATGATCAAAACCCAGTAACAGCTTATATCTTCTACTTTTAACGGCCATGTCTCATAGCCGTTCAACAGGACAGAACGGGCTACAGCGCAGTATACTTGTTCTTTGATAGGTAATCGGATATCTCGCCAGTTGGTACCGCAAATGATTCAAGTCGGCAAACGCCGAACGGGCTTTTTGTATCCGAGCTGGAATTTCGTCACCAATCAATCCGTTTGGGCTGATGCAACTCCCCAAGTAAAGTGGTCGACACTTTCAACTACTTCATCACTCGACTATCATACTAAAGTTTTCTTAATCGGGTTCATGAGTAATAACAATAATTGGTTGGTAGACATATAGGTGAATCTATGAAATGGTACCTTACAACCACTTTGTATCTATAATCAATCAATTATTATCAATATTGTTGCCTAACAGTTAATGTGATTACACCTCACATCACCATGCCAAGATGAACGGCGATGAAACGAACGACAAGGAAACAGAAATAGCACAATTAAAAGTCGTAGGGATCCATATTCGAACACGTATCATCACCTATTGAAATGCGCATATTAATATGTATGAAATGATTACAAGTTTGTAATACCCCCCCCCCCCTACAACCTTCTAATTAATGGAATTGTGGAAAAGATATCTGTGTATCCACAATCTAATTCAGCAGCAGTGATCTCTACGTTGATGAATTAGACCGAGTCAATTCAAGAGTGTGCAAGCAGATATCATCTTCTAGTTAGCTTAACTGCACAATGATCAGTATGTGAAGGCGCAATACATGAACAATGAGAATAATGTAAGGATTGCCTATCAGTTGAACTTCATACACCAGTACTCAAGAGTGTAGGTAAACCAACAGAACAGACAGAGAAACTATATCAACAGTGTTGAAGATAACCAGAAGAAGCTTAATATGGTTAATAACAGTTACGAAAGCGATAAGGTGAAACATGCATCGAAGCTACTGTATCACTTATCAACCCTCTTCAATGCACTAGTCAGTTAATTAAAGTAACTCAACCTCATAGAGGTAGATATACCAAGCTATTAATCACATTAATGGGACTTAAGTCTTATGATACTAACAGCTGCATAGACCAATGTAGGTAGCCTCGAGCTTACACCTAATGCCTAGTCTTAAAGTGAAGTGCCCTATTCAATGGGTTACACCTTTATCAGTAATATAAACTGGTAGTAATTTTTTGCTAGGTTCACACATGGAAACCTGATAATATTACGAGCGTACAAAGAATACTTTCCTACAATTAATTATGAAGTTATCCATTGAAAAATGATACTGTATCGTTGTGAAGAAAGTGTATGAAATGCATTCTAGGGTGATGAGACATGTAGAAGTTTTAAAAAAAAATTAAAAACTGTACAATTATGTGATTAAAATATCGACTAAACTCTAACCAAACTTACATGGTGTGGAAGGAACATTATACATACTGCAGGTAGTTGTAGACACTGATGTGTTAAAGTTCACCGGTGAACTTACAACTGGTTTTACTTGATTAACAATAGGTGTGAAACTAAAGGAATTATTTGTAGATTCTGGTTTTGCTGTATCTATAAGTTGTTTTTCAACTGAAGTAATAGTTGATTTAGGAATCGGTAAACTGAGTATTTTTGGAAGGCTTGGATTCAACAGAATTTTTGGATTATCCGAGTTTAACAAATATGGGCAAATACTACCATTCGATAAACATGTGAGTAAGTATACCAAATAATTCTCCTTACGCTCATCATCCTGAGATAGAAATATAAAAAAAAAGTGAATATTGACTTTATACTTATCAGACGTTATCTAATGACACTTGTTATTCCTTCTTGATACTTGTACTAGACCGTACTGACCGAACTTTGCATAGACAGACAGTTTAATTATGATGTAATATTGTAACCACAATAAAATCAACTTAAAAATTACATGAGTTAAACTAGTAATCACCAGTTGAACTAATTCTTAGTACGAATACATTTTTTTTTACAATAAATAGGTGGATACGATTTGAAAGATATCCACAGTTTGAGAAGAACATTTATCTATTATAATACAGTTAGCTATCATCATCAAGTATTAATATAAGATAGGGGATTACTACCGAGCGGAGCAAGTTGCTACACCTTATATCAATATCTCAAGTAGCAAAGTAGTAAGATGAAGGATGAAGAAAGAAAGAAACATCAGTCAGAAGCACCAAAAATCAGTAAGAGAGAGAGGAGGGAGGAATGAGAAAATGCTGAGTTTAGTATACCGGTTAAGATGAAGATAATGTGTGCGCATATACCTGCACCACTGACATCAATTTTCATCATTACATCACTTAGCGTCTCCAACCACTAGTTTCTGTTGTTACACGGACCATAACCCGCTAGGTCTACATCTCTCAGCATGGCTCAAACCAACGGCCGGGGACTACATATAGTTATGCCAGGTTTTAGTCTTGGTTGTATTGTGTTTTCTGAGCTGAGTTGTTTAATAGTCGAGCGATTTAGTAGCTTTTCCTGATGAACTGGTTTGTGATTGGTTGTTTTCTTTGATTGCTGTATCAAGCAGAGCAACAGCCAACAGGAAAATCTATACAGTCAATGACACAACAATCAAAGCAAACAACCAATTACAAACCAGTTCATCAGGGAAAGCTACTAAATCAATCACGGAGAGATATTGATAGCTCACTTCACAAGAAGTTAGTGCTGAAGATGTCGTCTAGAAAAACGATGAAAGCTCCACTATTAAACAACTTAGTTTAGAGAACACAATACAACCAAGATCATCCACCTGAGCTACAAATGTTCTCCACCATTTCTATGTGCACGTACTCAGGCTTCCGCTTGAATGCACAATAGGCGGAGGGAAGATTGATCTCTGGTAGATAATTTCTATATAGATATATCTGTACATAGCCACCAGATAGAGGATCACTGACAGACTTAAGCTTTTTAGTCAGCGTTACTTACCTAACACTGAATTTCATGAAGATACAAGGGTAAACTTCACCCGAAACTAAAACAATTAGCTATTCACGTAAACAATAAAGACATCTAGATCAAATTGCTGGTTGTAGAAAACTAAAGAAGTTTGACTCTGTAACCTCATTCACCATGGAAGGTGGTTAGCTGTCTTATCAACTTGCTGATTCACCATTCAATAAAGTGATAATAAGGGTAAATATAAAGTAGTGAAAGCATAAATGAACTTATGCAGGTTTCCCTATCCGAAAATCACCAAATATTTATTATATACGAAACAACTAGTCCCTTTTATGAATTCAGAGTATAGTCAGAAGTAATAGTGAAGGGAACGAGAAGACCGAGACGAAGAAAGGAGTGTTTATTAATAACATGTGGTATAGTAGTCGTTAAATACGGTACACCATGCACTAAGACCATCATTTGCATAATGTGCTTCATTTCCTCTTCTTAGTACATCAACTTTATTGAAGACTCTCTACTCGAACACTTGTGGGCGTGTTAGAGCCTATGATGAGATGTTCAGGGAGCTATGCTCAGCTCATTGAGTGGTGTCCGTTAAGGGTGCCCACTGTCTCCATTCTTATTCAATTTTATCATAGATATTCTTATGGAGATCTCCATCTCGTCATCACTAGATGGTTTGAACAAAGCAATGGTTCAAGTATTATTAGACTGATTTTAAATGAAAGAAGAAAATCCAAAGATAAATGATCATAGACAAACAGACAGACTAATTCATATAGGGGAATTTCTAAAGAAACACCTACCTATTCAGTCGTTCAAGTCCATGAATCACTTGGTGACGATATATTTGAGAGTATCTAAAGGAATAACTAGACGAATACCTGAAATCGTCTTACTTTCTTCACAAATTCTTCAACTCCCTACTTTTATGTAAATTATCTTCGTTTAATTAAAAACTTTAGGATGTATAACAAAATCTCATACTGAATCAACGAAATCACCCGTAGAAAAACTGAAGACTTAACCCAGTGGCTTTGAGAAGGTAGTCAGCGATTTGAGCATTGTACACTAGATGAAATTCCTCATCTTTATACAAGATCATCATTACTGCTCCCACTGTCATCCGTGTTTTTTTGTAGATTTCAAAAAGCAGTAATATAACGTAAAACCTCGCATAGCAATAGATGGGCAGTTCAATTTGCCACACTTCACAACGGTATGATCGTCATAAAAGTCATTTCAACCAAGAATAGATGTAATAATGAATCAAATGACGATGTACTTTAAAGATCAAGTTACCCAAATGATAGATAATAGTCTATGAATTGTTTTTATAGTTTCTTTTCACAAATATTCTTCAGTAATATGCAAAATTAATCAACATCTATGAGTAAGTCAAATAGGTGAACTTTGAAATAAGATACTTTGTGAAAACCTGAGCGTTATTGTTATATACCCCTTAATTTTGCCTGATATTTCCCTATAACCTTAAAATAACTGTATTATTGCTGTTTTCTCACATTATTGGTGCTATTGTCAGTTTTTGTTTTTCCCACTGCTTTTCAAGGTTGAATTTTCATTGTTTGTTGACTCTTTGAACCTAAATGTAGATTTTTTGTCAAGGTCATTTAGAATGTACATATTCAGCATCGCTTTCAACTGTTTTGACGATAGTTCAGGAAGTAAAAGCTTTCTGTCAACTGCCCATCTTCCCTTCTTGTCTTCGCATGCCAGTAGTATTGTTGTTGTGGTGATCAACATTCTGATTAGCAATTAGAGTAGATTCTTTTGCACGTTAGGTCCGTATCGCCCATAGACTGATGGGTCGGATTACTGGTCATAGCAGTTATTAAATACATGTAAAAACTCCTTTTAACTTGTTTATCTTTAGAAACAAAAACTGTAATATTTAACAGTTGCTTATTTTTATATAACAGACATTTGACCATTCGTCTGAAGGTACAAAGTTTTCTACGCATAGCTCTGACTCAATAGTTTACACAACCAACTTTTAACAAGCAAGGAAGGGTTGAAGCTCTGATGTATCTATCTTACCAACGTATGGATATTCAGGTAGTATCATTAGCTCTTAAACAATAGGTGTTATTCATTGCCTACAGCAAGAACGTGCATGTGGTTGATGAATGTATTGTGACTTATTGTTTTTTTAACAACGCTCCTACAATTCTGTTAATGAGATACTGCATCTACGAGGCATTGCAGAAATATTTCTGATGGCAAGAATATATAAACTGAGTGATGATTGAAAGTGAAATGAAAATTTGGACTGCTGTCGGACTCCAATCACCCATCACACACACACACACACAGGTTCCCGGCCCAACGCTCTACCAACTGACCTACCAGGTCCGACTCCGGATCACATTTTTATTTCACTCCAATCACCAAAGGTTTTGCCAGAATACCATGTGAATTCGTGACACATCACTATCTCTGGATCACACTCACACTAGCTGCCTAGTCAGGACTTCTCATCCAAATCCAAATGTAATTCAATTAGAGAGGGGGGGGCATCATATTGATCATCATTTTGACTATTTCATATACCCATCGTTTGGTAGTCTAGTCAGCAATCTGACCTCGTACCTCAGTTGGTAGAGCATCAGGTCAGAAACCCGATGGTTGCTGGTTTGAGTCCGACCGAGGTCCAAATTTTGAAGAAATATTTCGTCTAAACACCGAATTACATAGTCAAAAGCTTCATAAAGCTTGTGCAACATTACTTCAATAAGAGACAAAAAGCAATTTGTCTGAGAATATGAAACAACATTAGAATAATGAATAGTACTGATCAACTTACTTCTTGAAAAACGCCAATATCCATGCTAACAGCTAAACCATCGGCAGGCAATTCAATACTCATCACAACCTGAGGTGGTAGGCTACCGGAGGTGTTGGGTAATTGTAGGATAATCACCTCTTCACCAACATATGCCCAGGTCACAGCAACATAATTGGTTCCCAAAAAGCGAAAATAATATTGGGCTTTATCACATTCCACACGACTACTACATAGACTTTCAACTGTAACAGCAGACGGTTCAGGAGACTTCGACTGACATAAACAAGGAATCAAAATAAGAAAAACAACCGTAAGTACGAAACAAAATACTTGACAGTTGGTACGAATTCCGGCTTGACCTAGGTTTTGCGCTGTTAGGCCCTCTTGAGCAAGGCGTATCTGCGACCTCGACGGAGCTCATATCCTGTCTGAGATTCGAGCACGCATCACCCAGCGCTGAAGTCAAATATGTTATAACTGAGGTCCAGGGCTTCCTACCGACTGCCTATATCCAACTAACATCTATGCCAGTGCATCATGATAGTGAGTCTCCTCCCTAGCCTGGTGGCGATATTGCAGAATGATCAACAACAGAATTCAGTAAGCATTCAGGACTAGACAATATATGATTGGTTGCTCCACTCAAGTTTACAATCCTTCTTGAAATCTATGCAACATATCTTACATTGAAAAAATAATAAACCCATTCATACTCAAAAATATAATTAGCATTACTCACAGTTGTACTAATGTACAATACTTGTGTTGAACAAAATGAATGATTTTCGTCTGTATATTGTTTAACAGCAATAAGGAAGCTATACGAAGAAGTCCACAATAAATCCACTGGAGAACTATCCTTCCATCCTGATACATAAATACAAAAGCAACAAAGTTCCAATTCACAAGTACACTGGTAGTAATAATAATAATAATAATAATAATAATGAGGGGCTACATACTACTGAGCATAGTTTTGTAAATAAGACAACAAGTGTAATTCAAAAAAATGTGCAGGCTTAGGAGCATCCTTACTGCATAAGATCTATAATATAACAATACGCCGATAACCTATAGCTCAATGGAGCATATATATTGAATACAACTTCAGTGGCTTAATGAATAACGCTTTGGCGCCTAAAGCAATGAGTATAGAGTTCGAGTCTCAATGGAAACACCACCACTCATTGAGTGAGGTGTTGGTACATTCCATTGACGAGTGCTACACATAGGAAAAAGGCACATCCTAGATTCCACTGCTAGCCACCAGTAAGTAAATAACTTGAAGCTGCTGAAGCTATGATATAACTGAATACACTAGTAGCATCTTAATACTATATTTTACGGTGAGATAGTCGACAGACAAGTGAGTTTGGTCAACAAACATGCTGATAAGCACTAAAACTTGATGTATAGGTATAGCATTTCGATATTCTATTCAAAGGCATCAAAAATTTCATTGAGCGATAGGATTTTCATATGCTTGCCCCTTTTTAATGCTTGCCTCAATCAGTATGCTATTTCCTTAAGTGATAATCTTAATTATTGCTTTGTTGTATGTTTTGTGGCAAATGAGTTTGAAGACAGTCGGGTTAGTTTATTTATTGATTTCAGGTTGGTATTCGTCATGAACTGACATCAGCTGGAGGAATATTGGAAACATGAGAGCACCTGACAGCTGCTTCGTCCTAGAATGGAGCTGCTCCTCAGGAATGTGCACCCATGACACTCCACCACGGATTGAGTTCAGGACCTTCAAGTTCCACAGCCAGAACGTTACCCTTAAGCCTACATATATCGTAAACCAAGAGAAGAAAGAAATATGAACCACTGGATTTCGACCCAGTGGCTCAAGGCTGTGGAACCTGAAAGTCCTGGATTCGTTACATGGCAGGGTCATGGGAGCGCACCGCTGAGGAGTCCTATACTAAGTTGAAACAGACGGACTGATTTAAATCAAGTGCAAAACGAAGGAGAAGTAGTTTAGTGATTGCATTTTTAATGATTTAAAATCCATTATTGTGAGGATGAGCAAATTATACAATGCTAAACGAATTACTATTCAAATGTGATACCAAACACAAGCTGTTAACCATGGAAAAACTAAAACTGCTAACAGTTGTGAAGATTGATTGTAACGCTATAGAAAATGGATAAAGATGATGAAGGCAAAAAGTTGAGTATCACAGTAAAATATTTTATGAATCAAGTCTGATTAGAAAGGGAATGGAGAAAGAGGAACAGAGACAGATAAAATCATAGTAGTATGCAAACGACAAGTGGATACAAAAAGTAGACAAAGATGTATGAAGGAAATGAGGAATTTGAGAGCCAAGGTAAGTGAAAATGTTTAAAATCTTGACGATATCAAAGGGTGAATACATCTACGCTATCGTGACGGATTTTCAGTCATATTACCAAGGGTCCACAACCATTGATTCGCATGGTCTCAGGGAGCCCCAAGCAGATAAGTTACCCCCCCCCCTACATGCCTCATGGACTGGTGCCAACGTCTTGATCTGGTTACCACGAACCTTTTGTCAACCTAATCTTACTTCTCCTAGCGTTCCACGTTGAAGCAGGCAGTGGCGGAGGAGTAGAAAAACGAAGGTAGGTGTTGATTTGAAAAGTTGAAAACTAATATCGTTGATAATGAGGAGGTCGAACAAGTGTCCTGGACACAAAACTGATTAATCCCTCTCTAATTGCTGAGAATTACAGTAACGCGAACGAAACAACCAACCATTATTCTGCATCGATTACTTCTGACTCTATCGATAACTTAAAGATAAAAGTTATCAACATCGAGTGACCAGTCCTAAAAGGTACAGTTACTGAGCAGTTATCTCTACACAAATATGTGGAACACGTAGTTTTCTGGAACTCCTTTGGTGGATCAAATACACATCTAACAGTCAGTCTATCTAGCCCCGAAGGGACTAAAATTCACGCGCATAAAGATAGACGGATGAAAGATCTTGTCGCTCAAAGGTTGTTAGCAAAACAGTATTCTCGAAAACGGTACAACCAATGTTCCATTTCCACTGATCACGATCATTTCTACTACAAAGTTAGCAGAGTAATCATATTCAAAGTCCAGAGTTTATATAGCCCATCTCTGTTGTTACAAATATGAAGTCAATTATCAGATAATTAACTACTACATTTGGTTGCTTTCTGTTGCATCCCTATATGAGATGAATCACAACAACATCCAATCCAATAGCGAATGAGCATAACTTCACTACCTTTTATTCTTATTTGTTGAAATTATGATAAGCCCATGCATTTTAGTCATATAGGCTTAAAGTAAACTTATCTCTTTGAGTTAGTCAGCGTGAAGCAATAGGTAGTGGGATCAAATTTTAACACATCAAAGCAGTGCAATATTAACAGATGAAAATAATGCTCATCCATTAGTCATACATTCAAATGGGAACCCTAAACCGAAGTTAAAACCAACAACAGTAATCACATCGTTAGATCAAGAATATAATACTCTTCATCTATAGCTCTGAATCATGTTTACTTCATCACATAATTAAAATACTTTTTCCCTCTGTTAATAAGAATTAACTTTATGGGAAATTAAGAACAGGACATGAATTAAATAGTCGTAATGTGGACGAACTATCATCATCTGTTAATTGATATACCCAGTACACATAAAATGTGTACTAAAAGATAAGTTCATACAACCTTACAGTTTGTTTTTACTTCCAATCAAGTATATGGTTTACAAAGAGAGAACTCATAGTGAAGAAACAGAAGACAACTCGACGAGAGACTGTTTATTACGAACAATTGGAATGGTAGTGGTTACATATGGTACTCCTTGAACTAACGCACCCATCTGCAAATGTCTTCGTTTCCTCTCCGTTTCTGTCTTGATTTGCTCTTGACTGGCTCTTCATACACTCTTATCAGCAGCATCCCCTGTAATACGCCTGTGTTGTCCCCTGCGTTGCTCTTGGCAGAAACCTTACCCATTTCCGGTAATTCCCTATGATTTCTGCCACCCTCTCGATATACACTACTTATATCCGTTGTTATCAGCAACGCCCACTACAATAGAATAACAGTGGGAACAACTTTGTCCTACACTTGTTTATTTTGTATGCTTTACTAGTAAAATTTACGTTTTCGGTTAAACAGCATACTATTATCTACATAAATAAATTAGAATGCATCATTGGATATTAATTCGAGTATAAACTTGGAGGTTAAGAAGAAACCTTGCTAACAGTTTTTATGCTTCTTGGGATTTATTGAGAAGATGTATCAACAACCTTCAAGGGATTTATGCTCCGTCACAAATAACAAAACCCAAAGTTGGTATTAGGAAAGTTACTTTTGAGACATAATAGCATAAAGATTACTGTAAACTCCATTAAACACTTACTGCTATTTGAGTTGAACAGATGCGTAAGTGGAACTAGACGCTTTTGATGCATTTGTGGATCAACTTGAAGAATTAAAGGACCCTGAATAATTCCGTCTGCAGTAGACAGAGAACCATTCAAGCAAATAGCAAGTTGTTTTCCTTTTGGACTCCAAGAAACTGTAAATATAAGGAATTGGCAAAAGAATTAGCAAAACTTACCCCGAACATAAGATATAGAACACAGTCACATATTATGACCTACTGACTGGGATTCCAGACCGCCACCATACTCAGTTGTCTTGTGCACATCTGTGAGCCACACCTACCTAGCTGCTCAAACCTCAGCAGGAGGAGCAGGGTGTGAACCCGTGACCCACTCGGTTGAAAGTCATCTCCTCCAACCACTGAGCCACAGCTCCATAGACACAATTTGGTGTCCATTATTACCGTCAGTCATACAATAAACTACACTATGTTAATGTGCGCCATATTTAGGCAATTAAACACATAGATTAATAAAATATGTGGGGGAAAATATTTCGAAATCAATCAACTCTCAAAAAACACAAACTGAATCATTGTCCGGTACTCTTTAGTGACTTGCTTCTTGGTTGCACTCAGGTATTTCGAATGAGAACCCGTGAAGTGAAGGGTAAACCAAGCTAGAAGTGAGCGTAGATATCACTCAATGATATTTGAAGATCATTCCATTATATCGCAAAATGACAATCTATTTACTACAAGATCTGATTATTCTGCGCACAACAACATCGATACATACCACTGAGAAGTCGAAAACTAGGCTAAAACAGTTTTCCAGTGCTCCTAGGATATATTAAAAGCAATCAAATGTTATAAGCATATTACCAGTCTGAGTCAAGAAGGTTGACTAAAGTCCTAGAAACTTGTTACATTCATAAGTCATTTATTTTAACTCGGTATCCATGCGCATACCCTTGTAAACAGAAATGTCACACATATTACTGATACTAATTGTGTGTCTAGCCTTCGGTAAGTTAAGTGAAGTTCTAACGCGTGGATCACTAGCTGAAAGTTGACCACTTAGACAAGTATGTCACAATTCCGTTACCAGCCAGTTCATTCACTTTGCTCTGGTTAACAAGCTCAACAAACTTTACTAACAACTAATAGACGAGAATAAGTAACTACGGTTCACATGTAATTATTTCATTGTTACTACTACAACAGCTTGAATTCACTTGTTCCCTGTAATATCACAAGCACTTGTGAAAAGTATCGACTGAACCCCCTTTATACATATTTCTGCTTTCAAAACTCTGTATTCAATAAACATATGATTAATGTAGTTATCTGTGTTTTGCTTGTATATAATCAGAAATGCCTCTTTTCTTTCATCATGGGGTGTCAGCAGTAAAATACTTTAATAATTAGCAACAGAAACGTCACATGGTTATCATGGTAATAATGATTTAAGATTCTGAATCTATGTTTAATTCTATTTTTTCTATTTTTTTGTGATAGGTTTATCTGATTACCTCATTTCGTGTTACTGACTCTTTTTGTAGAACAATCATGTTTAGTCGAAAAGGCGAGAAATGTGTTGATTACTTCCCATGATACAGCTTAGGGGTAAGAGAATGAATAAAATAAAACCTTATTTATATTCACTTGACAGCAGTAAAAAAACAACTTCTGTAGTTTGTCTAACGAAATGCGTTCAATGTTGCATACAAAACGAACTATTCATGAGGAACTAAATATACTGTGAAAACAACTTTTACATGTTAAACGTGTTTGGTAAACACCATACATAACTGACTGAAAGACACAACAAGCTGTGCATTACCGTTCTTCTAACTGAGCTCAAACATTACCTTTGCAAAAGAAGATGAAAGAAATAAGCTTACCACATCGACAATCTGCTGTCACGGGCAGTTGGTCAACAAGTGTGACAGATCCGTTCCCATCAGTCGAAAAATTAAAAAGACGAACTGCTCCTGATTCAAGAATAACAACAAAAGTAGCTGGATCTGTAGGGCTCCAAGAGAAATCACGTAATCTCCACCCAGTAACTTCCCCACCACAAACGCGAACAGAACGACTTATGTTTGAGAGATCGGTTGATCCATGCTAAATAAAAATGATGAACAATTACCCGACGGTAAACGCTATGACCAGACAACTAATAAATGGATATAAACAACATAAGACCTGGCTTATGATACTAATTAGTTGTCCAGGCTGAGCTAAGTGCAGTAAGGTTCTAACCTGAGGTCGATTGCTTAGAAGTTGAAGGCTCAAGTAAATGAGCCAGAGCTCTAAAAACCTGTGGTTACATTATTGGTATCATAGCTAAGTAAGCTTTCTCACCAACAATTTAAAGTGTGCTAATGTGGATAAGCAACCACGTACAACCCTGTGTACTGTGCTATGAGCCCCAACTTTCCTGAGGGCTAGTGGTATTACGTGGTTCCCAAAGCTTTATTAGATGGAATGCCTTTTGAATCCATAATCCAATGGCTGAAAATCATGAGCCTTTTGACACCGAATCATAAGGCGGTACAACTAATTGACTCGCTAGTCAAGTAAGAGTTAGTCAGCTGATTGCAGGTAGTACGTTCGTACTGCATGTAAGCGTCCATGATACCACAATGTTGCCTATATGAAACAGATATGTTGGGCTAAGCCCATGACTCATTAACTACAACACCTAATAAAACCATTGTTCAGTAATTTACGAAAAAGTATCTACTTCATATGTCCTGAATAAGTGTCTACTGATACATCAAATGTAAAAATAAGTGTAAAACAAAGCCTTCACTAATTGCGTACTATGTTCTTGTAAAATATGACGGAGATGACTAGTTATTTTATGCGATGGGTACTGGATTTCAGTATAAGTGTGATGAATCCAGGTGTGATCAACTAACGAGTCCAAAATAAGCTTAAACGGATGCCCTAATCTAAAGTTAAACAACGCAATGTTAATAAAAAATAAAGGTGACCTGTGTTCATTGTACACCACTTAAAATGAACTAAAGTTATCAAAACAGATAATTCATATGCACCAGTAAAAACAAGATGAATACATGATAGCAATAGAGAATATCGTTGTTATTATTATCATCATTCTAACGCTGTTTTAAAAAGAATAAGAAAACTTTATTGGTAGTCTCAAAATAAACTTTACTAGTTATTGCTATCACACATCAAGATTTCAGTAAAACATATAAAGATTTAAAATGACTGACAAAATCAAAGTAGAACCTTGCGCAGAATTGGATCAGTTCAAGTTCCTCCGCTTAACGGCAGTATACACAGGACAAGTGGATAGAAAAAGAGTGATGTCAAAGTAGATAAAGTAGTGTGAGAGAATAAACAATTTGAAGGTAGTGATTAGTGAGAATATTCAAGCTTTAGAAGGTGTCAAGGAGTAAATACACCTGCACCATTTGCAGACATGTGACCACCAGTTCCCAACCACTGATTCCTATCGCCTTGAGGACCTCAACCAAGTGGTTTACATCTCCCCACACGGCTCAGACCAACAGTCAGAGACTTCATCGATTGATGTCATGCCTTGATCTGGCCACCCTGAACCGTCTTCCAATCTAATCCAGGTTCCCCTAGCATGGCACATCGAGGTAGGCGGTAGCTCGGCATGCGCAGTACATGTCCAAGCCATTTCAGTCGACTTAAAATAGCTTCTGAGAGACCATATTCCTAACGATTGTTGAAAAACGCTTTTTATACGTGATGCTGTTTGAAGGTATCTATGAATTTTATGTGGGGTATGACTCAGTGGAAGAACAAGCATGAACATTAAGCACAAAAATTCACTTGCCTGCACCACGTTGAAAACATTAACCAAATTTACAAGCGTCCCACGATTTTCACTTGATGTCACAACAGCCAATGTTAAACCATCAGAATTAAAAGCTATCCAGCATATAGGGTCGATAGAAGAAATAGTAATATTTGGTTTGTGACTGGGCAATGGTTTGTCTCTTCGAAGTTTGCATACTTGAGTTGCTGTAAAATACTGTTTTGTGTCGTATAAAAGGAGACCTGTATTTTTGTGAGAAAGGAAAGTAAATGTGATTGATGAGTTTATTTACTATACATTATGTATTTAAATCTATTTCTCTATTCAGTGAAAACAACAAATGAACTCATTTTGTAATACTTCACTGAAGTTTGTTTTACTTTTTTTCAATGATCATAAATTGATCATAAATTTGCATGTATATTAAATACCACAGAAATGTCATTCAAGAAGTAAGTCAAATGAGGTCAGTCCATCTTTGTACAGTAGGTAAGTGTGAAAATAAGAATTTAAAAAGTTGAAGTTAACCATTTAGTGACAATTAACAAGATTTTTAGTAAATTTAAAACACACGAACTTGATATAACATAGTCACTGAGACATGCGTCATAAAAAAAACAATGTACCAGCACTAAGAAGAAATAACAGTGAACTTGAGGTATGGAAAGGAACAACGTGAGAATGGAAACGAAAATAGGAGTGGTTTACTGTAGGGAATATCTTAAGGATACATTCAAGGAGACTTTCATTACTTTTATTCTACTTTTCAATAACCAAAGGAACAGAAAATATGAAAGCATCATCACCACTAGTTTTGATTGTGAGCCATTTATATCTGACTTCACTTTAAGCCATTTGGTTACATGATCTCTAGAACTTCGTTCAATTAATTGTTGGACACCAACAAATGCCCGTTCAACATTTGCCAACACACAGTATCTGTGGTGCTGGTAAGATAGCCCACTATCTATCAAATGATGAGTATACTGTGCTGTAGTCTGTTCTGTTCTGCTGTACGGCTGTAAGAAATGGCTATTAAAAGTGGAAGACATGAGGCTATTACAGAGTTTTGACCACAGGTGGTGGAATCATCGTGTGAGCAATGTTGCGGTCAAGTGAAGGGTACTAGGCAAAACAGACAAGTCGACTGATGAGGTTTTGAACCTTCATCGATTGAGGAAGCTTGGATATGCATTGCGCACACTGATCCAACGCCTACCTCAACATGTTATGCTAGGGGAAGCTGACTTCTGTTGAAAGAGGGTTCAGGGTGTCCAGACCAAGAGGTGGGATCAGTGCATGAAGCCTCTGACTGTTGGTCCGAGTTGTGTGGGGGACTGTTTGTTTAAACTGCCTGGCTAGGATCCCAGAGGCGATAGGGATCAGTGATTAAAGACTCTTGGTGACATAGCTGCAAATCGGTCACAATGGCGCAGTTGTATTTTCTCCTTCACGTCTTCTAAAACTTGAATATTCGCAATAACCTTCATCTTCAAATTGTTTATTCTCTCACACGACTTTATCTACCTTAACATCACTCCTTTTCCATCCACCTATTTTTTATGTACTACTGTGAAGCGTGGCAACTTGCACCGATGCATCTGTGTCGATTTTGTCAGTCAGTTGTTGTCAGTCTATGCCTAACTAACAGGACTATCCTTCATCACACAAGGTGCTATGCCATACATACTACTCACCTTTATGCTTCTGCTGAGAAATCCAAGATAGTAAACATATGCACCCACCATATATTATAGTGCTAGCTGGGGATTTGAGTACACAGATCAGGCATCTAGGACAAGAGGGTCATCTGGGTGATCAATGCCGGTTAGTCGGTTGCACGTCAAATAAAGAATATTTTCTGGATCATTGCACAAATCACCTGTTTCTAGTCAGCACCAACTTTCAGATAGCCATCGTTGTTGTGCTAACTGGCGTCCTCCGCCTGTAAGAACACAAACAGATCTCACCGTAATCAGCCATCGCTGGTGTGGGTGTATTCAGAACTGCTGACCCTTCTAGAGCATATGTTCTGACTCTGAACACACTCTAATGTTTGCTAAGTTCATCTTGCGATTCTCTGGTCATAAAAGCTATCGCCCAAAATGGGTCGACATAGTCAAGCTAGTTGCACGCAGTACTACAGCCACAAAAGTATAGCTGAATATTAGTTGCACTTACAAGACGTCACGAAAATGGCGAGTAAAACTGTTAGTAAATACTGGATCTCTGTGGTAGCGTGGGGAGTAGTAATTGTAAAATGAATGTTACTGAAAATATACAAACTTGGGAAGATGTCAAAGAGTCAAGACATCTGCACTATTACGAGTGATTTTCAGTCATCTCATCAAGGGACTCCAACCATTGATTACTAGTATCTCGACGACCGAAGCCAAGCAGTCCATACTTTGCAAACGACTCAGATGAACAGTCGGAGACTTCGCAAACTTCCTCCACGTCCTGGTGTAACCATCCTGAGCCTTCTAACGACCACTGTATTCCTCGATATTATGGCTACATTCGATTTACTAGACAGGACCTTGACTTGAAATTACCTATTAGAGATGGGTGCCTGCGATGTTTGTGAACATCTTGAAAGCTCTATACTTCAACGCCTCAGGTAGAGTATATGCATAGCTGATGTTCATTATCTGAAACCAATAGTGGGAGTTAGGTAGAGCTGCATGATTTCTCCCTCTAACTTTGATGTCAAGGACATTTGATGAACAACATTGAAAGAAATGCGTGGTGGTGTAGACCTGTAACCGGGTTTAGAGCATTTTAATCCTGCATTACGCGGACAATATCGTTTCATTGTCTGACAGCATGCAGGTTACTCAAACAACACTTAGTCAATAAGCGACCAGTTTCCATAAGCATAGCATATGCTTTGCACCACTGAAGTAGACGTATTTTCACAAGACTGACGCAAGCCCGTACCTGCACTCACCCTTCGCAACACAGCTAGAAAAACGAAAGGTTTGTGTAAATGCTAGTAGAGATGTGACTGATGAAATTTCAAACCATATATTTAAAACTAGAGTGGGACATGTCACTATGGGTCACCTTTAGTGCTATCATGACTTTAACATTGCTGCGAAAGGTCGGGAATACAACGCGTCGGTAACGACAATTCCACTCGACGCTGATGGGAACTGGCTTTCTTTTTTGATTTTCAGTACGAATACAGACCGTGAAAGCGTGGCCTATCGATCCTTTTGAATGTCATTTTCAGAGTTTGAAGCAAGAGGTGTCAGAAAAGTTACCACAGGGATAACTGGTTTGTGGCGGCCAAGCGTTCATAGCGACGTCGCTTTTTGATCCTTCGATGTCGGCTCTTCCTATCATTGTGAAGCAGAATTCACCAAGCGTTGGATTGTTCACCCACTAATAGGGAACGTGAGCTGGGTTTAGACCGTCGTGAGACAGGTTAGTTTTACCCTACTAATGAGTACATTTATCAGTGAAGTACAATCTGGCCGTTGCTATGGTGATCCTGTTTAGTACGAGAGGAACCGCAGGTTCAGATAATTGGTATATGTGCCTGGTCGAAAAGCCAATGGTGCGAAGCTACCATCTGAGGGATTAAGACTGAACGCCTCTAAGTCTGAATCCCGTCCAAATTTGCAACGGTACATCCAAAGATTCTGCGTGCCTAATCGCCTTTGGTCATCAGAATGGCTTGCATCTGGTGGAGATGCCATGTGAGTAATTCTAAGGTGACTGTGGTCATCTTCCAACATCAGCTTCGGTGGATTAGACATGTGTTACAGATGACGTTTCAGAAGCTATCATATAGCTTACTGTTAGTTTACCCTAGAGCTAATTAGAAGCCGATGGGAAGGTTAGAGTATCATATGATGCTGTGCTGTGAAAGATATTTGTGTTAGGTTAGCGTCTACAGGGAATTCACAATTCCATGTACATGAACTCGAGAGATTATACAAGTCAATGGCCTGAGACGTTAGTAGGAGTAGCTCAATATCAAAACCAGTGGCAACCATGTTACGGTTTTTTGTTTTTTCTATCATTGAAAAAACGAATGTAGTGAACGGTTCTTAGAAAATACACCTTTGAGATGGTCCTTTTAATAACCCAAATCTGTTTTTGCTTCTATTCTCCTTCGTTATGTCTTCATGATGTTGCTTTATTACCTCGTTTGGTGCATCTCTTGGTTCATATGCACCAAGTTTGTTTCCTAATACTAGGATATAATAGTAGAGAACGAATAATATACGAACCCCTGAGACAACATTTATAATATATTTCTGAGCAACTAAAGACACTGGATTGCCAAGCGTCCTCAACTTAGACGCCGGTTTTTCCAGAAGTGGAGTAAAACCGCCCAAACAGACGTGTTGTTTAACCAGCGTTTCACAAAGAGATTAGTCATGACAACACTGAAGGTGACCCATGTTGGAGTATATCACCCTGGGTTTTAGCATACAGACATACCTTTCACCAGTCACACCTCAGTCAGCAGTCATAAAACTACCAAGGTACACAAACCTTTCGACTATTCCCAGCATTACCGCAAAAAGTGAGTGCAAGCACGTGCTTTTACAAATCTTATTAGAACGATTTGCATTTCCAGTGGTGTTAAGCACAGGCTATATTGACAGAGTGTGGTCACCAAATGATTATTTGAGATGAGAAGCCTGTACGTTGCATGCAGTGCAACGATTTCATCCGCACACTCCAGATTAAAAGGTCCTCAGCACGGAGCATCAGTTCTACGCTATTACGCATCACATGCCGAATTAAATAAATAGACTGAAACGACTATTTGAAAGTTAGGCTAAAAAAAATTAAAGGAATATTAAATAGCGTATTGCATACTATTGCACTATAGTGTACTGTTTTCCAGTCTTAGAAGTATACTTCTAAACTTCAATGTGTCAACTTACCATCATTGCATGCACAAATAATGCAACCATGAGGGCAACTGGTTACTAAAGATCTTCGTTTATATTCATCAAAGAACCACATGAGAACTGATGAAGTTGTTTATATTTCACATCACTCATCACGATGTTTAGGATGTAGTCAACGCAGTAATACGAGCAACGCGCTCCACAACTCAGTCTTCAATAGCCACATTCCTTCAGTTCCACTTTAAATATCAAGGATGGTAGGTCAGCAGCATAAATCCATGTGAATATTCAGCCCCTTATTTAAAATAATCTTTACATTAGCACCTTTAACAAGTCTCGGTAGCATGCTCCAAATGCTGACCATGTAGGTTCCGTTTGTGGCTTATTCAACAGTGACTTTTGAACCCTTTCGTGACGACCTCTTGGATAACTAGTTTCCGGGAAAGTAAAATATTCTATAGATTAACTCCTGAATAGTCTTTCATGTCACTGATAATTTAGTGCAGCAGTGGATAATCCCGTAAAATCATTAGCCTAAGATTCGACAGGATTTGACATTCATATAGGCCTCCATGATTTTAACAGACTTGGTGAGCTGAAGGCATATGGTCAAGCCTCCACGCCACTTGGAATGTTGTCGTGTTACATGCACCCCTTTTGCACGATCCTCTAGCCGGCCAGTGGAAACACCGGTATTTTGGCAAGGTCCACCAAATATACTATTCCACCTGGTTACCCTGTTGTATTCTTCCTTAGTTTCGCACTCGTGGGCATACTACAAGCACGTATAATTCGTGATTGGCCTCTGTACTTGTCAAGTTCGTGCGAGATCAACTTTTGAACTTGCATAAGATCTTCAGCTATCATACGATATGATAATGCGAGGGGATTCCAATTTTCTCACCGCTTTTCATAGAGCAGGTTCAAAGCTTCTATCACTTACGTAATGCCGCCTTCTATGCCCATCGAAGAGTGTCTGATTCCTGTGTGGAGCAAGGACCGGCTGCCTATGTGCAGTATTCGCAGTGAGGTCCACGTAAGCAGGATACAGCAAGAACTACAACTAATCACTTCACTACCGACAATAATTTCTGGTGCAGCATGGAGCTTTCTACGCGATATTTTCAAACTAAATAACCACCGCAGTAAGATTATTTTGGTAACAGCAGTATACTAAGGAACACCGTTTGTTGTTTTCAAGTTATCGTCTGGTGTAAGGGTGCGCTGTTGTATGGGGAGATGGATAGAAAGGCACTCGTAAGCGTGGTGGCGGAGGGTCCCCAGCCAGTATAAATGTTTGTGGTCCCTGTTGTCTATTCCTACGCCAGATATATGACGAGCCGCTATGGGCTGAAGGGACAAACTCCATCTACAGAAATATTTTTTACAGTTTTATGGTGAACTTCCGGACAATTGGCTGGAGGCATTCTAAGAATTAGTTGGAATACGTTTTACTGTGTCGATATTTGAATAGCCAAGACATGTTCAGAAAGAGCCTTTTTTAATGTAGGAGACAAGATGGAAACTTTTCGGCATTTCAAAACTTTGAGCGGGCAACCGGGGTCACCATTGACGTAAGGCATAGGGCGCTGGGACCCTGTAACTTATCATGCTTCGGGCTACTCAGAAATCCAACCACCTCTTCACTCCCCGCCGAAAGAGGACCTTTACCGTGGTCTTTTAGGAATTGTCCTGGTGCGAACTTGACAGACGCACAGGCCAATCACTAATTATTCGGACCCGTTGTGTACCCAGGAATACGAGACCAAGGAGGAACACAATAGCGTAGTCGGGTGGAATAACATATTTGGGCGGTTGTGCCAAAGTACCGATGTGTTCCACCTAATTGGCTAGAGAGTCGAATACGAGCAGTGCAACGTAACACGACAGCGTGCTAAATGGCGAGGATGCTTGACCGGGTGCCTTCAGCTTAGCGAGTCCAGTTAAACTATCAAGGCCAGCATAAATGTCGAATGTCGTAGAACCCCAGGCTATTGATTTTGGGGAAGCGTGTGACGCTACAGCCTTACTCATTATATGTGTGTTGCCACCTATCGAAAGGACCTAGAAGAAGTTAGCCGATAGGTCTCCGACCCTTTTTGCATTTGTCCCTGCCAGCGCAGCTGAGTCCTCTTTGGGAAATAGAGTTGACATCTTACCATACCACATAATCCCGCGCCAAATGTGTGAGTTAATTATTCTGCAACATGTAAAACAGTCACTCGCCAGCGGCATTCAAAGACAGCCTTACAAGAGTTTTGAAATTTTGCAGTTTCTCAACCTAAGCGCAACACAGTTTGTTTCCTCTGGCAGACCTCAGTGTCACTTACTCTCCCCAGAAGCCTATAGATCTCGTCATCACTCGGAAGCGATCGGTGGGATGGTTTCCACGATAGTGAACAAGGAATGAATAGAGGTGTGATGCTTTCAGATATCTTTCTTACCTTCTCCCAAGTCTTGTCATCAGTCCGGTGTTCATAAGCAGACCAGTTCAAAGAGGCCACCATTTCACTAACCGTCGTCAAGTTTGCGCACCAGATAAGTCCTAAATTTGAATGCAAAAACTACATTATCTGTCACTGCCTGTCAATAGGGGAGACACTGGAAGTCACTTACACCTTCGCGCCAGTGAGTGTAGGCCAGATCACATGGTGAAGCGTCACTGTATGGATCGAACTGCGTACTTACAACTACATTTGCGCTAGGTCAAACTTTGAGGTAGACAGTGAAAGCTCAGTGTCTGAACAGCTATATGGACGCGTAGTTGTGAGCCCCTTTCTGTCGAAACTGGGAGCATTTACGTCTCTTACCACCGAGCGCCTGTCTCTAGCGCCCCGCTGACTTAGCTTGACGGTAAGTCATCCGTTTGGCGATTAGGCCTACGAAAGATGACTCAGATGGTAACGGTCCCTTGGCTTAACTCATTACCGCTACGTGCTGCCTCATATACGCCGTCGTCGTGCAATTTTGAGGGAGCCTAACGCACCCCAACACCTTACCTAATAGAAACGCCTTACAACCGTCCATGTGAGGGGGTGATTCCATTTTCTTTTTTATAAATCGATCTCTTTATGAGCGGCGAAAGGTCCATACACTGCAGTAACTACGTTTCCCACATTGCCACAACGTTCTGGACCGAATAAATCTCCGATTTCAGGGTCCTTATTCATGAAGCTGTTGTAGTTAAATTACATCACCTGCCATCAGAGCATTTCAGTTGACTTAAAAAATGCGACCACGACAACACTGGCCGTGGCACCACCTGTGCCACAGCCAAACTCAAAACCTACAATATCACCCGTTGCATAACGTGAAAGTTCCATAAATATCTCACTCTCAGATGTATTGCAAAACAAAGCGACCAGTGGTGCTCAACCTGAGTTTCATAGCCAAAGAAAGGCGTGTCTAATGCACTATTTGTTGACTACGGTAACAAGGTGCGAACATGTTTAGCCGAAACAAGTCTCAAAGAAATCACTTTGCAATCGGCCTAAAACTTGTTGCCTGCGATGGGGACCGCCAAACGAGTACTTCCTACTGACGAGAATAAACGACACTTAAAAGAGAAAAAGGAGGTTAGCAAACAATCATATGAGATACAAGGCCCCCAAATTGGGCCTCATTTGAGAGACTAGGGCCAATCGAAGACCTAACCGAAAAAGAGAAAAAGGATCTAATGGTTTCAACAAAGAAATTGAAGGATGACGGGTGCTCTGAGTCCACCCTATTTGAAGGTTTGAAACTTGCAGGTGGCGCAATTCCACAAAGCATGAACTGGTAGTAATACACAAGCCTAAGGTTCCGCTTCGCCCTAACCTTCACATGACTACCACATCCCAACGCGCAATAACCAGACGGCTTGAGTCAGCGAAATATGGGAAAAACAGTCAGTTTTCAGTTTGCAAACGAAGCTGGTGACTCAACTCTACCCGGCAAATGCACAGTATAGTTCGAAGTACGGTTTGTTTACCAACATCCCTGCAGTTGAAACCAAGTACCACACTCACAAAGAACTTTTCGAGGCGGAGTTAGACGACGACGCTTCGGTTATGAGTTTGAAAGAGATACCACTAAAATGCACGACAGAGGTCCAGTTCATCCACAATAATTATTTGCACAGACATGCTGCCAGTTAGGCTAGAGGATCTCCCCGGCCCCACATTTGCAGATACATCCCCAGCAAAACTGGGAAACGGTTCTGTGAGAGGTCAAATTATCACTGTGGTGTTGCACCCTCGATAAATGCTCGTTCAGCGACCTCGCCTTGGGTCATTCTAGTGGCGCCTATGCATCGTCTCTTTTACTTGTGAAGGTGAAATCAATGGTTCGACGCATTCGCTTGATACGCTTATGGCAATAAACGAAAATGGTCGGATAATGAGAAACATGTTCAGAAAGCGGAAGACTGCGGTATAGTATTTACACGCCAGTTTTCTGTGGAGTAATTAAAAACGTAATACAACCAAGTGCCCAGTATTTGGATCGGTAATAATAATGGCAATATGTTGCGAACACATGTCACTTCTGCAGGCAATATCCGAAGGTTGTTTTTCTCAGCCAAGCTGATCGAGTTTACAAAGAATGAATCGCCGCGCCATATAAAGTCTTCCGAAGTAACTGTTTGGATATTGCTGGTCAAAAACATTGGGTAATAGCAACGTCGTTAAACAGTAGCAGCGAAAATCAGTACCGGTATGATCACTCAGTATGACCAGTATCCTGGCAGTGGGCCATAAATCCGGGGACGGCACATTGCAGGCAGAATGTAGAGAACAAATGAAGCTGAAAATATGTGGGCAGCCAACAGATATTCTACATTGCTGTTCAGATGATGACGCTGTCGAATCAGCTACTGCCAATCCTAAATCACAACCGCTACAGTGGCGGGGAAGACGTTACGCCAACCTGTCATCCTCCCGGCTCATATACAGTGGGTCAACACCTAACACAATAAAGGATATAAGTAGTAACCCCGTAGTATCTTACTCCCCTATTACGTCCCCGAAATTAAATTCTACCCCATTTTCCTCACCACTACAGTTCCAACTAACCTGCGAGAAAATGCTTTCCGAAAACAGGTTTAGGTACTACTGCTTATCCAATTCTTTAACCTTC